AAGCAATTTTCTTTCGTTATTTCAGCGTGATAATGCCAAGGCAATCTGAAGCGGTAAAATGTTTCCTGGTCCTAGAGCGTTAAAAACACTTGAGACTGTAAGGTAGTTTCTTTTATATGCATGGATTAACAGAGCGACATCTATATTACAGGTTCTACATTGGCTAAAAGAGCTAGCAGAAACTCTTCAACTTCGTTTGGACGAAGATCTTTCACAAAACAATCGTGCACATCTTCTCACAATTCATGCAAGCTACCACATTGTAAGTCTCTACTTTTGTGTCATGTTCCTTATCTCTCTCATGGTTTCAGGAAGGTCGTGCTCCAAAGTTCTCCTCAAAGTCGTGGCCTTTAAGATATGGCGTAGACAAGATCATAGAGGACAAGCAGTGACAGGACTTTCTCTTAACAGCTTCAAACATCATGGCAAAGCTGACGCGATTTTGTCAAACGATTATTAAGGATGTTTGCTCTTTCCAGGGAGTAAACCCAATCACTCAGTAACAGGAGACCCTGGAACCGCCAGTGAACAGTAGTCATCGAGTGCTTATCGATTACTGGAATCAGCAGCCAAGAACTTATGTGCCACTCCCATGCCGTCCGTCCACCAGCTGTGACCCTGTCCTGGCCTCCTCCAAGCATCCTTAGGGGGTAGCCACGTAAGAGAAGGGGGTGCTGCATTATGCATTTCTTCCTCTTGATCGTCTTGATCCTGGCCTGCTCTTCCCACATTCCCTGGCTCCAGTATATCTGTTCCATCAGGATATAAACTCCAAACTCAGAGTCCTCCAGATTCAGTAGATTCTCGAAAGCAAGCTTCCCAAGCACCACATTCTTCCACTTCCGACAAGCACCAAAGACCGTCCTCCACGTCACCAAAGGTATAGATAGTATGTGTTGCACGGCAGCGTCCAGCTGGTTTGCATGGCAAAGCATGTCGAGCATGCAGTGGTGGTGCTCGAAGCCGGGAGAGATGGCATGTCTGGAGCCATTGAGCCGAAGAGACATCGGCCTCCGTCCACAGCACAGTCACGTTGTCCTGTGGAAGAGATGAAACACCTGGCTTGCCTCGCCTAGCCTGCTATAAGCGTCGTCCATCAACGTCAGCATCACAACCTCCAAAAACTTGATTTGGAATAGGCTTGCGCTAAAACTTAACCAATCTAACCTTTTTCTTCCAGTATCATTGAAACTAAGGCCCTTGCCCTTTAAGATTAAAATCATCATAAACAATGGCAGTGGCATTTTAGTGGCATCTTATTGTGTATGGATCAATTGAGCTTTTACTCATACATTCTCTATGAAGCTAACTTTGATTTCAACTACATTGAAAATACTTTTTTGAAATAAGTGTTCTTTAACTATTCTCCCAATCTAGAATAAATCAAAGATAAAAGATAGTTAAATAAATTGTGATGGTAATTTTTGGGGAAGGTACACCCAAGAGGGGAGGTATACCTATGGCAACAAGCTTGCAAATATATGAAAGAAAGCATATTTGAATTGTTATAACATATATATGTGAATAATATTTTTGAACATAATGTTTTTTTTATGCATAGCTATATATTTGTGTTTGTCATGTATGGCAAAGTTCAATTTAATGCCATGTATGTGAGTTTTTGAATTATATAGATTTCAATTCTATGTTAAATTTTATGACATGTAAGCAAGGTTTAAACTTTGGGTTAGGGCTCAAGGGCATAATATTTTTGAACTTGCAAGCTGGATTTTGAGCATTTTAAGTTTATTATGGCTGTGTGCTCGGGATAGAAAATGTTTTTCACATTAAGTCAAGTACAACAAACAAATCACTATAATGCCAAAAATATATGCACATGATTAAGAATGTGAGAAATAAATGGAATTAATGTTTTACTAGGAAGATCTACTTACTCGGACAAAAACCACTGCACTTAATGCCCCAAACTTCCAAGAAAAACCTTTGTACTCACCTCTATGTTACAATCAATTGCATTCACTTCTATAACAATAGATCAGTACTTAAATTAAGGCAAATAAACTATGAAAAATGAGAAACACTTGCAAGAACAATTGAAGCACCATGCTTACATTAGTTCATGTTTTGATTGAAGAATGCCTCTAAGTTACAAAAATTTAGGCATAGCCACATGAAATAAAAGGTGAATAAAAAGCATATAAAAGAAGGCAAAGGTGATTAGAAAATTACAAATTTATACTCACATCACATTTGTGGGTGTTTGAGGTGTTACATGCATACATGGCATATCCTATGCATAATATTAACTCAAAACAAAAAAATAAACCTACACAGGTGTAAATATATAGTGTAGCATGTGCAATCACATATACAGTCTAATACAATTTACAGTAATCATGTGGAGGCTGAAATGGAATTTTTTCTTTGAAAATGAAAATTATAATTAGCACAAAGATCAAATGAATGCCAAAATCCATGCTAGTGGAGCTAATGGCTTTATTATGTATTAAATATGCGATTGTTATAAAACATACCTTTGTGACTTTAACTTTATGCCATCTAAAGTCACATGGGTTTTACATAATTTTTCACAGGCAATTCAAACTTCTAATATAAAAAGAAAAAATCAAACTTTTGCTCACTTTGCTTCCTAAAAAATCTAGCAACATCCTATCTCACTCTAAATTTTAGCATTAAGAGAGCATGCCATGTAATCCCGATATGGACAAAGGTTTAGCAAGATCAGGAAGATTTAGAGCATGCAAAACCCCCCAAGAGCAAGAAGAAAATCATTAGGACTACAAAGAAAAACTGAGAAGAAAGCAAAAATAAATATTCATCTCCTAGCAGTTGCAGTAAATGGTCCCTCAAAGCTCTCCTAGTGCCTCTAAATTTTTTTTTTCAAAAGTAAAAAAGCTAAAAAATCACTTTTTAAATAATATAATATTTCATATTTCCTTACATCCAACTCTCAATCTTTACCTCTTAGTCTCCAAATCAAGAACCTCAGTGTATATTGATTGGATCTCATGTAGCACAGGCTGTGTCATAACTGGATAGGGGTAAATAAGCCTCGGATGCCCAATGTATTGTTTAAATGCATGCCACATTGGCATGTTGGGTCGTTTTGCTAAATCGTAGTCCTTTGGCCGCATGTTAATAAGCATATGATCCTTAAATAAATCCCTTTTTCAAAGTAAACATTGGGCATTGATAACACATACCACATGTTATTCACACTATTGCGTCTTAAAATGTATTCGATAATAGATAGGGTACACTCTTTACAAAAGCCATTCAGCCAAACCTTTCCAAAAAGAAAAAAATAAAAATAAAAATTAGCACATAAATACATGTTAACATTCCCTCTTCCTCCTCCTCAGTAGCGTCCTGTGTCCCAAGCCGTCCATCTCAAAAAAAAAAAAAACAATACAAAACATCACAAAAAAAACACAACTTTAAGAGGAGAGAGGGACGAAAGATTGTTCCTTACAAGTGAAGTCGTGGTTATAATAGATCCGGAGGTCGTAGCGTCCCAACCACGAGCGTGCATGTTGTGCACAAACTAACATGGCATAATAGTGCGGCAGCACAGACAGCGGTGCCCTCTCGAGAGTGAGTGCTCGCAGGAGCTTGTTGTTAACCATCCCTTGGAACAGCAGCGCCAATTCTCTCCCCAGAAAAGGCCCCGCGGGAATCCTGTCGGGTTTCTTTGAATGGTGGAATTCTCAGACGCAATGCAACCCGGGAGTAACCCCACTTTATATTCACTCCATGCTTCTGGCGTTCACGTAAAACGGCAAACTTGTTCCATCCCTGCAAGAACAGAGGAGGGAGGAAACAAATCACTGCCTGTAAATCTAAGTTGGCTGGCTATTTGTATGACCAACAAGCTGCTGCTGCCAACGTGAGGAGGTGCAAGGGACCACAGTGCTTTCGGCTCACGTTTCTTATCATGGCCTTAGTCTGCTTGATCGGTTGCGTTGCTCTTGTCTGCCTTGTGTCCCGGACGCCAGAGCCAAAACCCTATATGGCACCAGCCTGTCCGCTGGATAAGTTAAAAAGAAGCTGCTTTCCAAGATTCGGGGTACCAAACCGAAGAGCTTTGGCACCATCATGGTGCCATACGAAGAAATGGAAGACCTTTTTGTGCTGGTCATGTCTATCAGGACCTAATGATCCCCTCGTGATGGGGAGCAGCGCCCTGGAAAGAAGTCGTAAACGAAAACCAGAAACAAATTTTAAGAACTCAAGAGGACTCACACATCTGAATTCTCCATTAGATGGCTTACGGTAAGTTTACTTGCAATAGTCCAAAAGCACATTTACTTTCCTTAGCATACAATTGGTGTTCGTGCAATTTTTGAAACAGCTCTGCCGGATAATACTTATATATAGTCTGCCGTTCTGGCTCCTCAGAGCTCACTCCCAAAACAAAGAACCTTGTGTTAAAACATGACCAAGCTTTGAAAGAACTAACTGACAAACTTTGAATGTTCCTCTTTTTACAGAATTTCACCCACAGGAGCTCCAAGTGCTCCGTCACGTCCTCGTCTTGCTAGGAGGCCAAGCCTTGTAGAAATGCAGCTCGTCCAGTACAAGAGAGCAGCTCCTGGCGGGCGAAATCAACCATGCAATGCAGGGCATCCCATGCAGCACACGCGCTCCTCTCGGCGTCAGAGAGGTGAGCAATATAGAACAAAGCCAAGACCAGGAACAACGTCTCGTCCGAGTGAGCATAGTCCCATTCAGCCACCAAGCTACTGAGACATTTCTTCGTACAAATCCCGCACCACTGCCTCTTTCATGATCTCGTCACTCCATTTGCAACAAACTGGGACACGACATTGAGTGGTGATGAATTGGGGCACTTGAGTTTTCGAAGCAAGGCTTTTTTCTCGTGTTTCAAGAGTTCTTGATCCAAGAAGGAAGCCAAAGTCCTCTCCTTATGGAGGTTTCTTCTGTAGGAGAGATTCCTAGAGAAAAACATCTTCAAACTGACCTAACCTAAGATATCTGGTTTAAAAGAGGCTTAACCATGGCGCTAAATATAACCTTTTCCATTTCCACATGCATAAAAGATACGTCTTAAGTTGATCAACCAAAGGTTTATTTTGCAACCTGAAATCTTCAAGATCCTGGTCCGCTTTCGGAGGACGAATCTAACTTCTCAGATTGAAAATACTGGCCTGGTAATTAGTTGGGTTGGGTTAGTATATATCAAACGTGAACACAAAGTTGTCACCTGCGATTTTCAATTTTTCCAACTGCGCACCGATAACCGAATGCTTCTTTTCATTCTCCTTGAGATTCATCTCTCCTTCGAATCTTTCACCATTTTCTCCGCCTGTACAGTACAGCAAAATTAAGTCAATCCGTCGAGCGAAAGTAAGTCGAGTACCTCCAGCGCATCCATCATATCAAGCTTTTCGAGACCAAAAAGAAATATGCCCTGGTGCAGAACCTCCTGTCGCTCTTGACTTGAGCTACGCCACCGTGTTTGCCAAGCTCATTACTTGTGCTTCCATTTGACGACAGAGATTGACGCGCCGATTCAACCTCAGCTTCCGCATTCTGGACAGCCGCTCTCCTGACTTAAAGCATTCTCTGGAAAGGGTACGCAACGTTAGACCGAAAAGACCAACACAAAAGAAAAATAAAACTGCAGGAAGTTTGTGGCGAGGTTGCACAATCTGTGTTCGCAGCTGGAAGCCTTCTTTTTTCAGAAGAATAGAAGCTTTCTCACTTACAATCTAACTTTAAACCAACGCCTCACTCTTTAGGAAGAAGAAAAAAACCTCTTTGCCCCTCACCTTTTCGGTCAACTGTCGCTTTGCAACCGGGCTAGTTGTTTGTTGAGACCGTAGATTTTCTGCTCGAGTTCTTCGCCTCCACGGACAATTCCTGGGCTTGAGGCTCCTCAGCTTTTCGCTCCACCTCGTTTTGAGCAATTGCGTTTTCAAGAACAAATTAGCATGTCCTTGTACATCCGTCCAGCAGAAAGAAACCTCCTTACCTGTATCCTGGTCTCTTCCAATTGCTGAATTCTATCCACAAGCTCAGTTTCGGTATCTGGAGCTCCCTCTCCACTCTATGCGAAGTCTGTGATAAAACAAAAAAGAAGAAAAAACATTCCACACTTGCAGTACGCAGCGTGGAGTGGAGGGGCTTTCCTCGCTTGTTTCTTTGGACACCGAAAATATCCCTGGTTCCGAAATCATCCACACCAGCGGCATAGATGAGCTTGGAAATCGCAGGAAACGATGCCAGAGTCTCGATTGAATCAGCATAGAGCTCCTGATGCCGCACGCAATCCAAGGCGCCAAGAAGGGGCTGCTGGAGCTCATTCCTAAGACGAGAAAGACGCTCACACATGGAGAACGAATGGATTCCATCGCTTACCTGGGGATTCCCAAACGAATGTCCAATGATAATTGCGCCACACGCTAGCAAGTGATCTTCGCGGCTTGCATCAGTATTCAAGAAATAAAATAATCATGTGACAAAGAGTCTGCAGTTCGATTCTCTTGCACTAATTTTGTTGCATCTTCCTGGTTTGAAATTAGGGCGAGAGATGCCACTGGCAAGGCGCCCCGCGAGCCGCATTCGGGTAATAGCGCACGTTGATCTCGATTGCTTCTACGTCCAAGGTGTGGGAATAGAGCTTTCCGGCGCTTGTTGATCGGTGGTTTTCTCTTGATGCAGTGGAGCAGCGAAGGCAGCCCCAGTTGCGGGGGAAGCCCACGGCCGTGATTCAGTACAATTCTTGGAAGGGTGGAGCTTGCATCGCTGTTGGCTACGAAGCTCGCAAATGCGGTGTCAAACGGTAAGCTCTAAGATTTCGTAACTTTTAAGCAGCGAAGGTGTTTTTCTTTTTCTTTTACTTTTTTTCAGCTCAATGCGAGGTGATGCTGCAAAGGCAGTGTGCCCGGATCTCAATCTGGTTCAAGTGCCTGTTCTGCACGAAAAGGCTGATCTTTCAATCTATCGAGACGCTGGCTCCGAAGTAAGTCCAAGAAAAAAGTGCAAGGGGTGGATATTTCTTCCATTTCCAGGTGGTTGCAGTGCTTTCGCGCGTTGGAAAATGCGAGAGAGCCTCCATTGACGAAGTGTACCTTGACGTTACCGAGGCTGCCGAGAGGCTTTCTTCAAAGGATTTGTCGACGCTCGTGAGCGAGGAAGCATCGACGTCCCATATTGTTGGACTTCCCCAGGTGCGATGGCTTGAAAGTTCTGCCGTGGTTTATGACTTGGCGTGTGTGCGTTATAGAAGCTCGGCACGAAAGAATGGTTCTGTAGGCCGGATGCAAGCCGCGAAGATCATTTGCTAGCGTGTGGCGCAATTATCATTGCGGACATTCGTTTGGCAGTTCTAGCTGAAACTGAATTCACTTGTTCAGCCGGCGTAGCTCACAACAAAGTATGTTTTACGTTTTGGGGGACTAAGTGATTCCGGTCTTGTGTAGATGCTTGCGAAGCTCTCGAGTGGAATGCACAAGCCTGCTCAACAAACGTTAGTCCCGTCATCAGCGGTTGAATCCTTACTCGCAACCTTGCCTATAAGTAAAATGTAGCTCTCGTTGATTACTTTTTCCTTTTGCTTATGCAAGTATGGATCTTGTGTTCAGCGGAAAACTAGGAGGCAAGCTTGGACAAGAACTTGAAGGGGAGCTTGGAGTAAAAACGGTTGGGGATCTCTTGCAGTTTTCCGAATTGAAATTGCAGGATATGTATGGCCCAAACACTGGGTAAGGAACTTTATTCCGAGTCTATCGAGCCTTTAACTCATCTTCTTTTGCGGTAGGACTTGGCTGTGGAATACTGCTCGCGGCATAAACGGGGACGAGGTTCAAGATCGAACGCTTCCAAAAAGTCACAGCAGCGGTAAAACGTTTCCAGGTCCTCGGGCGTTGAAAACACTTGAGACTGTAAGGTTAGTTTCTTGACTACGCATGAATTAACAAAGCGAAATTTCTCTTACAGGTTGTATATTGGCTTAAGGAGCTAGCAGAAACTCTTCAACTTCGTTTGGACGAAGATCTTTCACAAAACAATCGCACCGCGCATCTTCTCACAATTCATGCGAGCTGTCACATTGTAAGTCTCAGCTAAACTTTTGTGTTTTGGTCCTTACTTATCGCTCTCTTAGTTTCAGGAAGGTCGAGCCACGGAGGCTCCAAAGTTCTCCTCAAAGTCCCGGCCTTTAAGATATGGCGTAGACAAGATCGTAGAGGACAGCCGATACCTCTTCGAGCGAAGCTTGCACGAGTTTTGCTCTCACCAGTCAGCTGGAAAGGAGCAAAGCGAGATAACCAGCAGCTGGGCAGTGACAGGACTTTCTCTTACTGCATCAAATATCATGGCGAAGCCGATGGTAAAGACGTGATCTTTTCAAACCATTAGTAAGGATGTTGTTTGCTCTTTCCAGGGAGTAAACCCAATCACTCAGTACTTTGGCACGCGGCCTCCAGTAACAGGAGACGCTGGAAACGCCAGTGAGCAGCAACAACAGTGCCCATCGATCTCCAAGGAGGTACGTCTTGAGGAAGACAGGGCTGGCCCTAGTGTTACCACAGACGGCTCCATTCCGGAATCCATCTCACCACCGCCGTCAAGAAAACCAGCGAAGCTCACAGATCTCTGGCAGAGAAAAGCATCACTCCAACCGGAGAGGAAGGAAGAAACTGTGGCTTGGGAGTATAAGCAGGAAGAGATCGATCACAGCGTGTTTGCAGAGCTTCCCTCTGAAATCCAGCAAGAATTACAGGGTAGACTGGGTGTCCAAAGAAACAAGCGAGGAAAGCCGACAACAATAGCGGATTTTTTCATCTCGAAAACGTGATACGGTGCCAGTCAACGCGCCTGGTCAATTTAGTCAACGAGCACACTGCTAGGGTCAATGTGATCGCGTGGCACCCAGCATGGCGGGCAGCGTGTATAGAGTTTAAACTCTTCCCGCCAAATTGTTTTCTAGGGTTGATGCTCTTCCATGGCCGGGTCACGCAACACTTACTCGTTCCCCACGCTCGAGCGGAAGGAGATCCTCAAGTGCCTGGCGCAGATCGGCGTGACCGACCTCTCGGAGGAGAATCTGGTAAAGCCGTCTAGGGAGATCATCTGGCCGCTATACGAGAATCTGGTGCAATACCTTGTGGGAATCCCCAGGTAAGCGATGGAATCCACTCTTTCTCCATGAGTGAGCGTCTTTCTAGGAATGAGCTCCAGCAGCCCGTTCTTGGCGCCTTGGATTGCGTGCGGCATCAGGAGCTCTATGCTGATTCAGTCGGGACTCTGGCGTCATTTCGTGCGATTTCCAAGCTCATGCATGCCGCTGGTGTGGATGATTTCGGAACCAGGGATATTTTCAGGCCGGAGCCGGCTAGAACAGTCCATGCGCTGAGCGCTGTGATCAACTTTGCATACTTCAGGTGTGGAGTCTTTTCTTTCTTGTTTTCTTTCCTCTTTCTTCTATAAATCACACTCGAGAATGCTGATTTTGCATAGAGCGGAGAGGGAACTTCCAGATACCGAGACTGAGCTTGTGGATAGAATCCAGCAATTGGAAGAAACCAGGATACAGGTGAGAAGGCTGCTTTCTTTCTGTGACAAGAACATGCTCATTTCTTCATCTTTAGCTTCAAAACGCAATTGCTCAAAACGAGGCAGAGCGAAAAGCTGAGGAGCCTCAAGTCCAGAAATTATCCGTGGAGGCGAAAGAACTGGAGCAGAAAATCTACGCTCTCAACAAACAACAGGCCGTGTTGCAAAGCGACATACGCGGGATCAAAGAGGAGCTGAATAAGCTGACTGAAAAGGTGGGGACTGTGGAGTTCTTTTCTTCTTCCTAAACAGTGAGATGCTGGTTTGTATTTAGATTGTAAGCGAGAAAGCCTCTGTTGCTCAAATGAAACAAGAGGGGTTCCAGCTGCGGACACAGATTGTACAATCTCCCGACAAGCTTCGGGTAAGCTCTGAAATTCTATATTCTACTTTTCCTTTTTGTTGTTCTTTTCGGTCTAACGTTGCGCTCCCTTTGCAGAAAATGCTTGAAGACAGGAGGGCGGCTGTTCAGAATGCGGAAGCTGAGGTTGAATCGGCCCGTCAATCTGTTGTCAAATGGAAGCACAAGTACGAGGCATACACAAAAGTGCGTTAATTTTTTTTTGTCTTTCCTTGGCCGAGCAAAACTTATATCATGTTGCAACCTCTTAGGCGAAAAGGAAAGTGCAAAAATGCCTTGATATGATGGACTCGCTGGACAAGCAGGTAATTTCGTTACTCTCGCTCGACACGCTTGACGGATTGACTTGTTTTGCTGTACAGGGGGCTCTTCAGAAGAAAATGGTGAAAGATTCGAAGGAGATGAAGATGAAACTTAAAGAGAATGAAGAGAAGCATTCAGTTATCAGTGCGCAGCTGGAAAAGCTGAAAATCGAAGGTGACAACTTGGTATTCACATGTGATACTAACTCAAGTATCTTTCAGGCCAGCATTTTCACAATCTACTGGAGAAGCTAGATTCGTCCTTCGACGTCAAGTGCCAGGAGGCGGACAAGGAGCTTGAAGATTTCAGGTTGCAAAATGCGCCTCTGATTGATCAACTGGATAAACAGGAAGAGCAAATCGCGAGAAAGCAAGACGAGGTACGAACGCTTGATTTGATTTGCTCTTCAGATTCAAATTCTTTTGCAGGTGGAAATGATCACAAGTAACTTAAACGAGGCTCGGTCGAAGAAAGAAGCCGGGCTCAAGGCCTTACATGACGAAGTGGAGCTGATACAAAACGAGGTAATGGACAAGGCTTATATTTGTGGGTCTCAGGCGCCAATTTTCAGGTTCTGAGATACAACGAGGACTTGATGAAAGTGATTGAGTCCTCCAATGGACGTTTCGTAGAATGAGTTACCCACAGTATGACGCGCGGTACCGGCGCACAACCCAACGCCACTAGAGGCGTTCCAGCTATGCGTTCACGTTGACTATTTTGACCGGACGGTTGGAATGCGCTGACCAAATGTTTTTAAGCGCCATTTGTCTAAAAAGTAGGTTTATAGTTGCGAGCCAAAACCAAAAGGATTGGAGATTTGTTTACCAGTGTCACGTTTTAAGCGCATTCTCAATCTAACTCCATCCATCTCGTGAAATGGCCCCTGCAATCCTTGTCTGCGCTTTGATTCTTCTCCCAGATCCATCTCTTGCTCTTAGAAGTGTCCCCATGGATTGTGGCTCACAACTTGAGCGCTTGGTGCTGCAATTATGTTCGATGCTCGTCGATGATTAGTAGCGGAGTGAGGCACAACGGCATCACGAGCCTTGGGAAATTCTTCAAAGTCTGTAAGATTCAATGCGTAAAGCTGTGATGGAGGTTCTATCGATTGGTAATTCATCACGATAATATAATTTCGTTTATCAATCCATAGAAGCTTTTACAGGTTTTCGTCCAAGGAGTTCCAAGGCAGGAGCAAGCCCAGTGCGTTTGTGTTGTTGTATGGGTTTTGTTGATACTCCTCTAGAGCTGTACAGGAGTCGTCCACAACACTGACAGCTTATTTCAGTTGAGAAAGAAGCGGACAAAGAAAAACTATCAGATTACTTGTGAGCCGCGTAAGACAATCCAAAGGCGATCCAGCTGAATACTGTCAGTAGCCAAAGAGCAACAGTAATGCTGCCATAACATAACGAAAAGGCATAGGATACTTTCAAAAAATTTGGAACAAGACATAAAAACCACTTACAACGGAAAGAACCACCACCAAAACGGATACGTCTTCTCTGCAACACCATTTAATGTTCAGTATACACGAGTACTTATCACAGAAATCTGACCCTACCGATCAAAATAACTAGTCCCACTATCAAAAAGAGCATTATTACCGAGCTCGTAACAAGGATAGTGATGTATCTGCAATGAGAAAAAAAATGGTTAACCACATCGCCTAACAATCGCAATGGAGCTAACCTCACATTTCTTTCAACGTTCTCTCAATCAGCTTCTTGTTGTCCTGAACCTTTTGTTGGATTTGCACGGCTTCAAAGTAGAGCCTGGCCTTCGACGAGAACAGAGTAGTAAGGTTACCATCGAATGGCTCCAACTTGCTCGTTATATCCGTCATCTCTGTCGTGACATTGTATATAGTAGCTGTGGCATTGTTGGCAGCCTCAATAAGAACATCTTTCACAACGTTGGCGTCCTCGTGTAGCCTCTTGTTTCCGACAAGAAGCAAGCAGCAAAAGACACTAAACGAGCCCAAAGTCAGTCATAGATATAAACAAACTTCCAAGCACGGAGAACACTTACAGTGCTAACAGTGTCAAAAGCATCAAAGCCGCCGAAGACACAATAGAGTGATGGGAATTTGAAGCACTAGGAGCCATCTTTTGGAATTTTAAATCCCTCCTCTTCATCGATCGAACAAAAAGCAGCACCAGGAAAACGAGCCTTGAACATGTGATGGGCAATTTTTAAGCGCATTCTTGATCTTCTTCTCAATCTTATTCCGCGCTTTGATTTTCCAAATCCATCTCTTGCTCCAACAAGATTGTGCCTCACAACTTGAGCGATTTCCCAGGAATGGATGCTGCGATTACGTTTGGGAGAACAGGATTTCCTCGTGAAGGAGCTGCCCGAGATCCAGAGCCCTGGCGCTCGCGCATTGCCGGAGGAGCGATTAGGTCTCGAGATCTCCAAATCCCCAAATCACAACGCTGAAGCTCCCAATCACCAATCCATCGCAATGAGTGAGCAAGAATTGACACCATTCCATCCAGTTTATTCACCATCTCGTTTCAAAAAAATTCCAACCATGGTGACGAATGCTTGCAAAGAACGCAGGATCTGTTATATTTTTGTGTATTTAAAATAAATATTAAAGTAAAGCTTTTTGGAAGTTATTAATGTTTGTTTTTGGTTTGATTAAAGGGACTAATGAATATACCTAAAATATGCTTGGATATTCTACGGTTATTATTCATTTAGATTAATTTTGTATTTATAATTTATAAAATTTCTTAAAACCTTTCTAGTATATATATTTTTATTCTATCATCGAATGGTTGATATGCAATAAGATTAATCTTGTGTTTATAAATTACAAGCATGCTTATAATTATAAATTTAATTTGATTAATTGGATTAATAAGTAATAACAAAAACACTATTAAGCAAACCAAGCATTGCTACATATAATGTGTAACAATTTATTGTGAAATCTTAAATATTTTATGTAATTCATTAGAACATAAATTAATAATTCTTTTGATATTAGAATCTTTTAATGTTTTTACCATTGATTAAGGTTATCATTTGTAATTTTTCTGGGGTGTGTAAATTAAAATTAAAATATAATATTAAATTAACCTATCACCATCTTCAATATTGGTAAGAACCACATGTTCTTGAAGCATCATTTGATTTGCATGAATTTTATACTTTTTTTTGGTGATACTTCAAATCACTAATTAAGAGCAGTTGTTTGTTTTTATCATAAAAAACTTAAAAAAGTGGGCTTGAAGTTTTCATAAATTAGATATTTGTTAACAAAATGGGAAAAACACTCAAGATAAATGAATAACTTTTGACAATACTTTGATTATTTATTTTTAAATATTAATTTTAATAAAAATAATTTTCCTACTTTTATTTTTTGTTTTTGAAATTATTATTTTAGTTTTATTTATTTATTTTATTATAATGTAATACTATTTCTTTAACATGCTTTTCTTTATAAGTTTTACAAATATTTTAATAATTAAATTATTAAAATATAATTTATATTAAAATTCATGTGAAGAGTACATGTGATTATTCAATGAATAAAAGTATATTCATTTGTTTATAATGTAATATAATTTTAAGTTTATTTTATTTAATAATTAGAAATTTATTAATAGTTTATGAAGATATGCATTTATAGATGAGTTTCTTCAAGTACATATTTTAATTTTAATTTTTTATTATATTTTTATTTATTATATTAGTATTTTATATATTAATTTGATGTTGTTCATCTTAATAATAAGCCCTAAAATTTTTTTTTTTTTTTCATTTTCATTATAAAAGTATAAATCTTGGAGTAAAATTTTAAATATAAGGTTCAAAAATAAACTTTTGAATGAAGTGAAATATCCAAAATTTTAGTAATAAAATCAAATAAAAAGGAATCTGATTAATTTATTTAATTTAAATATTCAATTAAATATTTGATAACATTTTTTAAAATTTTGAATAATGTATTAATTATTTAAAACTTAAGTAAATATATGACTTTGCTTCAAGTCACCACCTTGTGGTCGTGGAGATAGCTGAGGCCTAGCACACAACCTAGAGCTATGATATCCAACTTGACAACAAGGAGCTGTGCAGCACCTCCCGGAGAATCACACTCTCCTCATACTCGTAGCAAATATATACTTGCAAAAGCACGCATCCAGAGTGGAAGCTGGTGAAGCTCGATGAAGTTCCCCACGAAGCTCCCTTTCTTCCAGACGATCCCCACCGATCTTGCTAGCCTCTGCAAGTTGTCCGTGGCATGAATGCATATGGGCCTGTCTTGGGACTCCCTGGACAACTCCCTCAACGGGGTGGTGAAAGCCTCCTTCCCCTGAATCGAAATGTCTGCCCAAAGCTCCAGCTCCAAATCCATTGACTTTTGTGCACAAGCACGTCAAGAGCACCAACATTATCGTCACCAACGATCTGCTGGCCAAGATCGCCGCCCCCTAGCTGGTCCGAGAGATCCCGACGCCTCTCCCCACGATCAAGGAGAACGAGGAACAGATTTTAGTGCAACAGAACCGGCGACTCTTCATCACTTGCGCTTTTTCTTGGGCAGATCGATCTTCCCATACGATAGAAGCCTGCTCTGGGACATGTTAAGTCCCTGCTTCTTCCTCCTCCGTTTTTTCTTTCCGGGACCACTCTCTCCCTCCGCGGCAGCGCTGGCTCCTGGAGTGGTATCGACTTCCACTCCCTCGTTCTTCGTTTTCTTCCGTGGTGGCTGGTGTTCTTCAGCCTTGTCATGGAGACCTTCCACTTTCTTGTGCTGCTTCTCCTTCTTCGCCTTCTTCTCTGCCTCTCGCAGGGCCTGTTCTTCGCCAGGAACTTCCGTTTCATCGAGCTTCTCCTTTGTCTTCTCGCCTCTGATCTCCCTTGGTGCCTGCTCGTCAACTTTTCTCTTCTCCTTCTTTGCTATCTTTGCTTCTACTACTGCCGCTTCTTCCGCCTGAGCTTCCGGTTCTTTCTGCTGCTGTTGCTGCTGCTTCTTCTTTTTCTTCGCGTGTTCCTGAGAAACAGGAGTATCGCCACCAGTCCCTTCATTGGCAGCTTGCTTCTCCTTTTTCGCCTTCTTTGCCAAACGGTGATACTTGCCACGAGGAATCCATTCCTCCGTCCTGTATGGTGCCATTGCCTTCAACGACACGTACTGATTGAGCTCCTTCTCGTCCGCATCCAATATCTGTGCCGTCGACAAGCCAAACCTGTTCGGCCTCACTTGAGCGTACTTAAACCGCGTTGGCATGTCCGAAATCTTGTCTTCGTAGTCCAGGCTTACGAGTCCTTCGTCTTCACTCTTCTCTATCCCCTCATCAAAATCCATGCCATCCATGCCTGCTGCTTCTCCATCACCAGAGTGGAAGTCTGGATCCTCTTCGTTGTAGTAGTCCTCGCCGAAAAGCTGCTGCATTTTCCTATCGTGCTCGTCCGGATCGAAGTCCTCCTCTAGATCACCCTCATCGATCTTACCAGGCCCCGCCTGGATCCCAGCAACAGTTTGGATCTTCGACAACTTCTCCATCATCTCTTTCTTCTTCACGTTTTTGAGCCTCTTCACCTCTTCCTGCCTCGCCAACTCTGCCTGTGCCAGCCTTTCCTGCTTCTTCCGCCTCCGCTCCTTCCTCTTCTCGGATATCTTTCTCACCGAGTCCTCCACCACTCTCGAGTGTCCAAGTACCTGGGAATCGCCACCCTCCTCGAAACGAAAGTTAAGTAGAGACTCATACCGGTCCTGATCGTCGAGCTCCTCTTCCTCCTCACTCACTTCCCCAATCACATCCTCGTAAGACGGTAGCTTGTCTTTGTTCTTGTCGATCCATCCCTGGTTCTGGAGATAGTTCTTGAGAAACCTATCCTTCTCGTCGAGATCATCGTCCTTCCCAAAGTACTCTTCCAACTTCTGAGAAACAGGAGCTTCCTTCCTCAGTTTCTCGGCCTGTTCTTCCTCTCGCCTCAGCTCCTCTTTGCTCTTCTTCCTGACCGTGAAGAGCCCTTCCTCATCATCGTCCTCCTCGACCGCCGCAGCAAAACTCTTGCGAAGCGCATCTTTAAGCTCCTGCTGTTCTTGAGCATAGGTCTTGATGGGAGGATTTCCATCCTCCTCCTCGTCCTCGTCGCCCTCAGGATTTTCCAGAGCCTGCTTGGCCACAACATCTTTCAGATACACTGGTTTCTTCCTCTCCTTCAAAGCCTTCTCTTCCTCGACGTCTTCGTCTTCATCATCATCGTCTTCGAAAAACTTCACCTCTGGCTTGTAAATGCTGGGATCCTTCTTCTTGATCCTGGCTAGCGTCTCTAAAATTCGAACCTCGGTCTTCTCCGGCAGCACTCCATCCTCGTCTTCATCCTCCTCCTCGGACGACGAATCCGTGTCCACAAGCCCGCGCTTTCGAAGCTCTTGCAGCCGCTGGAGATCCTCCCGCCGCTTGTTGTGCTCCAGCCTCTTCGCGTACTCCTCGTTTATCCGCAGCGTCGGCTCAGCCTCGCCATCGCTGCCGTCGTCGAGAAGCGCGAGCTTGGCCGCCATATGCCCTAGAAAAACCCTAAATTCCCATTTGGCTAATCTGAGGCTGGAAAACTGAAGATTATGGCAATATGGCTGGTCACCACGAAGACGCCGACACGGATTTCCACTTCCACCAAGCTTTCTTGACTCCTCTGCCTCAGCTTTAGCTTCTTCAGGGTTGCTTGCCACCGTGACGTGCTTGCTACTCTCGAGATGCAGCCATCGTCGGTGACTTTCAGCAGTTCACTCAAACGGCCAAAGGAAATGAACACCTTGGCGTATCCACGAGAGCGTATCTCCCTGCTTCAATACCGCGTCCATGCCAGTCACTATTTGCACCCCCAAAACGAGCCTCTCGTTGTCTCCAAAGCAAACGACCCCCGGGTGGCTGAACTTCACAGGTGCGAAGAAACGAGAAATCTTGTCGGCACGCAGCAAAACGGGGGAGAAATCACCTTCGAATCGAACAACCGCTTTAGGTCTGAAGTAAAGCTGCAGACCTTGCGCGTCAATAACGACACCATAGTGTTTGATGAAAATGAGAGTTGCCATTTCGGCGTTCCACCCAACCCGAGCACTGTTGTCGTCGTGCCGGATCAGCCTTGTCCATTCGCTGATACCATTACTAGCCTCAAAGTCGGACCTGCACTGCAGAGTCTCGGTGATGAGCGCCATAGTGCATGCACGCAGAGAATCTGATAGACATTTTCCTGTTCCTGTCTCTGTATCCACGTAGAAGCATCTAGTGTCTAGTGCGTCCGGCAACTCCGTTATAATCGTTTCCACTCCGCCAACCACGGATACGAAGCGCCTCCAGCGAGATGGCCTCTGGGAGATACTCTTGTACGCCAGCTTCGTACATGTCGGACGTGGCCCGTAGCTTCCTGGTCCCGTAATGAGCAACAAGCCTGGGAACCCAGCCAGTGTCACTTTTGAATTCCGAGCAGAGCTGCATGTCGGACAAAGTCAGCTGCTCTTCAGATCCATCAGCCTGCTTAATCGCGTCGGTAAGCCGTAAAATCACACATTTCATTTACCTTAATGCGTTTCGCATTCCGCTTCCGGTGTTCTTGCCTTCTGGGAAGCCTGCAAAACGCCACAATCGGATCCTCCTACTCCAAACCATTAGTAGGCTTTAAAGGAAGTAAACACTATGCTCACCTCCGCTTGGAGCCGCCCGGCACGACAAACCTCGTGCTCGCAATATGCATGCAGTTCTTTAGCCTGTTGGATGAAACGAAAAGCACACAAGTTAGCCCCAGGCCACTTAACGTTGTAACCACCTGTGACTAACATGTACGTAGGGCTTTTGTCGCTCACTAATCTGTTCCTCCGCATACTTCGGACGGACGAGCAGTAGACAACGACGTGCTCCAGTTGCTCTCCATAAAATGGTAAGCCTCGTCCCTTCTTTCCGCGCTGGCAGCCGCCGGTTATCTCTTCAGCGTGGTGTCAAACGCGTTGAAGCTCCTCTGACGATCTCGACAGGATCCAAGAATCTAATCCTTTCAAGGTCCAGCACTGGAAGGTCGTCTATGTAGCCCAACAAAAGAGGCAGCCACATTGTCCTCAAGGGATCATGGACGAAGTCTTCGCCATTGACCTTCTTGGAGGTGGTCGTCCAAAGTTGCCGAAAGATGTCCAGCCACAGTAGCAAGAACAGTGGTCTTCCCAGACCCCGGAGTTCCAGTAATAATACCTGGAGGTTGCGAGACGTGGTGTCCTGGACGACCATCGTCTCCGCCGCTAAGCGCAAGCCGGATGCTAGCGCCCTCGTCCACGCCAAAGATTCCTTCGAGAGAATGGCGCAGTGGTGCGCAGTGTCGTGGAACGCCATGCTCTCAGCGTATGCCCATTGCGGGATCCCTGGAGGAATCCACCATCGCCCTCCCCGCTCGCCTGGACTGGCTTGATCCGGGCGCATCTCCAGGGAGGAGATCTCCCCCAAGCCTGGGAGATCTTCGAGAGGCCACAGCGCGATGCTAGCGAATCTCTTGCTGTCCTTGCACCTCCAGCTCGGGAATCGCGACAGTGTCATCGATCTCTTCCAGAGGATCCATCGCAGGGACACCACCTCGTGGAACGTCCTGGTGTCGATCAATGCCAGCAGAGGGAGGATCGGCGACGCGATCAATATCTTCCATATATGAACTAAGAGGGCCTGGCGCCAGACTCCATGACCTTCATCACGCTCCTGGCAATGTCGTGCATCGTCGACAATCTTGCGAAATCGGGCGAGCTCGGGCATGCCGAGAGGGCGATTCGCCAAATCCCCTGTATGTAAACTTTGACGAGGGCGCTCGGCTTGAGCTTAGTGGCGGAGACGATGGTCGTCCAGGACACCATGTCTCACGCGCGCTTCTGTGAGGAGAATCACTGGCACTGGGGCAGTGGCGAGTTCTGGGCGTGAGACGCGAGCATGAGATTCCAGGAGAAGATGTCACGGCCCATGGATTGGAAGACCGAGATCGACTGTGCAATGCCATACATCTGGAGGAGGAGATTGTCGAGGTAGCTCTGGTGCCTGTGCGAGAGCGAGGATTGGGCGATGGCGGCGTGGATGCGCCGGCCATTTGCAAGATCCGCGGGCTCGGAACACGATCGCAGGCTCGATGCCTAGCCGTGCGAGAGGACGGGCATCGCTAAAGACGCTTAAACCCTAAACCCTAAATTTCCTTCCAGCTCCATGGCGATGGTGAGCGGCGGCGTCGCGTCCCGGGCGCTCCTCCGCGTGCTGGGCAGGCGGCGCTGCCTCCACATTTCGGCGCTCGCATTGTCCACACCGCGCGGCACCGACAGAGGATTCGTTCTCTCTCGCGGTGAGTTCACAGCATTGGCGCCCGCGGCAAGGCGATCGGGATGGACGGGTCTGTCCATTCCAGGTTCGCGTCTCTATTCCAGGTTGATCTCCCCGCTCGTGAAGCCGCAAGAGTATGATGTGGATGCCTGGAGCGACACTCCTTATCTCGAGTACATTGTGGGATTGGAGCCGGAGGGATCCACTCCGGCCACTTCCACTGGCGGATCGACGCTGGCGGGAGTCAGGGGTGACAAGAGGCCGCATCCCGGCTACGCAGCGCGGCTCATCCGGCTCAGGATCGAGAATGGTGCCGCTGTCAAGGCGAGAGAGGCCATCCTCGACGAGAAGAGCTACATGAGAGACTTTGGAAGGTTTTGGATTCCAATGGTGGCCGATCTCATGGGAGGACCGCATCACCACCACAGTCTGGAGGTAAGTGACTGCTTTGTTCTTAGATCTTCGCTCCTTGTTCTGATAAGCTTGTCTTAGATCTTCACTTGGATGAAAGACCATCCTACTGTTCTAAAATCCGCGAGGGTCATGGAGCTCGACCGGCTCTACTCGATGATGATCTCCTACGCCGGCGTGGTCGGGCACACAATGCTGGCTCGGAGCTGGTTTGACGACATGTTCGAGAAGGGAATGAGGAAATCCAGCCAGTGCTGTAACGCGCTCATCATCGCCTACGCCAAGGACAACGACCTCGACAGCGCCATGCAAATCCTCCACGGCATGAAGCAGTTCTCCCGCGAGTGCTCGCCAAACGCCATGACGTACCACATCCTCATCGCCATGTTTGCGCGCTACCACCACTGGCAAGGCCTCGAGGCCATGGTGAGGGAGTGCCGGGATGCCGGGCTCTCGCCCGACGCCATAACTTTCAACACGCTCTTGCACGCCTACGCGAAAATGGGACGCATGGACAGGTTCGAGAGCACGTTCCAGGAGATGGAGCGGGTTTGCAGGAAAGGTGACGAGCCTTTCAAGCGAAGCCCGGAGACCTTCGCCGCGCTGCTCATCGGCTATTCTCGCCTGGACGCGCTGGGCAGGTTCCACCAGGTTCTCAGCGAGATGCGAGAGGAAAGCTCCCAGCTGCCGCAGAACATCGCGGTTCCGGCGGTGGAGGAGGCCGCCAAGGCTCACAGCAGGACTGCGACCGTGGAAGGGATAGAGAAGCTGATCGAGTTTGTGGAGACAACTCCAGAGATCGCATCGACGTCGGCGTTCCAGAGCTATGTCGTTGAGTCGTATGCGCAATGCGGCCGGCTCGAGGAGATCGAGAACTACTTGGGAGGAGTGATCGACCGCAAGGATGGCAGCTTTGTGGAGGACCCAGCGTTTGAGTCCATGGTGGGAGCTTTTGGCCGGAGAGGCGTGGAACAGCCCGAGAGCAAAGCGGTGGAGAGGGTGTACACGATCTACGCGAAGTGTAGAGAGGCGGGTATGGAGCTAAGTTTGCATTGCTACGAGAGTGTCGTGTCGGAGATGGCCAGGGCAGGGAGTTACGAGAGGATGGAGGAGGTGGCCGCGGACATGGAGGCGGCAGGGGCAAAATGGCCGGCCAAAACGCTACGAGCTCTTCTGGATGCGTACCAGAGATCTGGGAATGGCGCAAAGGTGGCGGAGATGTCCGAGAGGCTGAAAGATGTATCGCAAGAAGCGGAGATGCCAGACACCAAGGTTGCGGCTGCTTGCTGAGTAATGATTGTAGTCCATGTATTTTAGAGATGGTATACAAGCTTTCAACTATCATGGCGTCCAAATCGTCTGTTTCCTCCCTGAAACTCCACCAGAGCTCTCACGTAAGCTTCCTCTCGGAAATCGGGCCATAACTTTCTGTCAAACACCAATTCTGTGAAGATGAAGTTGTTCACTATGAAGTTGCTCAATCTTTGCTCCCCGCTGGGGTCGCCCACCTCTTCGTCCCACTCGGTGAGCATCTTCTTCCTGATCAATGTCACTTGCCCTTACAGCTCCGCACTCAACTTCGAAGGCTATTCGCCGGCAATCTTGAACAACATCTTCTCGGCTGCCATAGGCCGTGGGCAGAATGAACTTCAGACCCTTGCTATTGCTAGTCATCACGTGTGCCTCGGCAATCCTTGCCTGAAGAGAGCTTGGAAGCAGAGACACGTCCCCAATGCAGCGAACTTTGAACCCATCCCTGTAAGCTTGCAAACAATCATGGGGAAGATCATCAAAAACTATAGCTTAATACGGTGTTGGGATGATCAAGCGTGAGGATGTTCTCCAGGTGAGCCAGAACTCAACTTGTCTCAGCTTCACGATTGATAGTGCAAATGCCGTGAATGATTTGATCCCCCACTGGTTGGAGATCCGAGCGATGTCTCCAGGAAACACGCTTCAACACCTTTATCGACAGAGAGGCCATTGGCTTTCGGTCCAGCAGAGATTCCCATCGCAACATGCCGAGGCAGACGCAAATTCCAGAGGCATGCACACCCTGCAAGCTATTTCACTCTGCGAGGCAACCTGTGTATTATTGCAAGAGTAAACACTTCAAGGTCCTGGATCTTTATTAATGTCAGAAGCTTTGATCCCATTTGTTAACAACAACTTCCATGCTTACCAGTATATTTGGGCGCCCTGTTTGTTCGGCATCTGTGAACAATTCAGTAGTAAATTAGCAAAATTACAGTAGAAACATTTTTATAGAAAAAATTTTGCACTCTACACTTTGGCCCTTTTCACTGCCACTGCTGTTATGGTTTGTGGGATTAATGCATTTAAGGGTGAGCAACACATAAATAAGAGTGGGATATAATCTTGATGATAGTGATGAAAGCCAAAAAGGACATCCACAGCAGTGCAGCTAGTATTCTTTTTTATCTAAGTGTTACACATAAGTTTTTGAGCTCCAAGGTGGTGAAGAAATTTAGTTTGCGGTTATGGTAGATGGATGTAGGACTTGTGTTTATGGTGAATGGACTGTGAGTGTTCCTTTGATGGTTTAAGAAATTTTCAATTCTAAATTATAAATCTTGGTTATATAAATGTTATTCTTGGGAAGGAATGGTTTTATGATAAAAAGCTAAAGATCAATTAAGAGCATAATATTTTATATATCAAAATTAATGGCATTGTGAAAGAGATTGTTAACAGTGTTAGAATAGACAATAGTGATACTCCATTAATCAATACTTTGCAATTTGTGTCATACATGCATGAGATAATTGTATTTTTTTTTTTTAATATGATCATATCTAATTTGGAGTACATTTGTGGGCATAGGGCTTGTGTGAACTACATTCAAGAGGAGTTTCGTGATGTACTTCTAGATGAGTTGTTTTGCCTTTCAAACATGGAATTTAACATGAGATTGACTTAGTTCTTAGAGCTACTAATAATTGACTTATACTAGTCTTACTGAAGATGAAGAGATTAATAGATCACTTGTTAAATACCTTTAGAAGGGGTGGTCATGGATAAGTAAATCTTTTTAGGTTGCTCTTGTAGTGATGGTCCAGAAGAAAGATGGTATATGGCATCACTACATGAATTATAAGGAATTAAATGATAAGACAATACAAAATATATTCTTAATCCCTTATATTGGTGATTTGCTCAATAGTCTTCGTGATGCTTGATATTTTACAAAGATTAATTTGAGGCAAAGGTATCATCAAATTTGTGTTAAGCCAAAAGATGTCCTGAAGACTACATTTTGGATGAGAATAAGGATGCCATTTGGTTTAATGAATGCTCTTATAAGTTTTTAAAGATTGATGAATCAAGTTCTAGAGGAAAGTTTATAATTTATTATTTTGATGATATCTTGGTGTTCAACTCTTCAATGGAGGAACATGAGATGCATGTGTAAAATGTTTTACAACTTTTAAGGGATAACAAGCTCTACTTGAAGTTATCTAAGTGTTAGTTTTTTTTAGAAGAGATTTGATATCTTAGGCATTTGATTTTAGTATATGGTATGGAAGTTGATCCTACAAAGATCCAAATCATGGTTAATTAGCCTATACCTTCAATTGTGCATAATCTTTGTAGTTTCTTTAGTATAGCTAGAGTTTTTTGACAATTTATGAAGGACTTTTCACAAATAACTACTCCCTTGACTAATCTTCTTCAAAACACATCAAAGCATACTACTATCATAGTTAGGATGAAAAGTGCCAAATGGCATTTCAATGTTTGAAGCAATATTATATCTTTGTTTCTGTATTGAAGATTTTTGATTTGAAAAGCCTCTTGTGGTCAAAATAGATGTAATTAATATTGCTAATAGGCCCATATTGCTTTAAGTTGAGCATCCTCTTGTATACATGAGGCAGAAGTTTGATGTTATACAACAGAATTGGCCTACTCAAGATATGTATAATGTGATTGCTAATATAAAGGAAAGGCAATATTATCTATATGGATCAAATTTCCATGTGAATTCAGATCATTAATCTCTCCAATATTTCAGTCTTCAAAAGGATCTTCGAGGCCACCATGCTTGTTGGTAAGAGTTCATGTAAGAAATGTCCGTTAAGATCTAATACAAACATAGAGGTGACAATAAAATAGTTAATGCATTATCTAGGATGGTAAATTCTATTTCATTGTGAAGCTATCCAATGATCTCTTAGATAAGCTTAAGGAGTTTTTTGACTTTGACTCCTTTATCACTGATATTCGTATGAAGGTTTTGTTGAGGGATGCTTCTACAAACTTGAAAGGTGACAAATTTGTGTTATTCAAGATACAAGATAGAATCCTAGTGAAGAAGGGACATGTAATGGTTTTTCGTGTTGACAAACTATTTTGGTTAAGTGTCATGATATGCCAAGTGTTGGGCATTCAAAAGTACTGAAAAACATATATATTGGTGAAAAGGTATTTCTTTTAGCTTAGGATGAAGTTTGATTGTTTAATTTACTATGTGGTCAAAGTTGATCATCAGAAGTTCATTAGCCTTTATCATCCTCTATATATACCCAAGAATAAATAGGATAATGTCTTAATGAATTTTATCACTAGTTTACCTAAGACTTTTCAAGGAAATGATGTTATTTGGGTTGTTGTGGATCATTTGACAAATATAACTCACTTCTTTTTAGTGAACACAACAATTAAAACTTTTAAAATTGTTTAGTTATTTGTAGATCAATTATTCAATTTCTATGGTTTGTCGAGTGTGATTGTAATCCCAAGTTCACATCTAAGTTTTGGCAAATGGTCTTTAAGAAGCTAGAGATTAAGTTGAGCATGAGTAGTGGTGAACATCCAAATCTTTTTTTTTAGTGTTTTTTAGGTACATAAACTTATGTTTATGTGAGAGCAAAACAATGTAATCCAAACTTTTTGATTGAGAAAAGTAGTGAAAGGTTGTGATTCATCATTCACAGGGGATTAGTTGTTGGAAGATATGTTAAAGTCTTTTGTGGGAAACATGACTCGACAAGGAGTATGGGAGAAGTACTTATTTTTACTTCAGTATGCTCACAATAATGTTTGTTAATCGGCTAATGGTATATCTCCATTCATGGCAATGTATTGTTATAAGCCTAGGTCTCTTGAGTTTGGCTTTGGTTCGGGTGCTTCATGCTTATGATTTTTTGGAGGATATGCAAAATAAACTTGAGTTGGCAAAGTTAAACATGAAACAAATTCAAGATTGAGACAAAAGATTGGCTAATGAGTATTATAGTCATCAAAGTATAAAGTTAGTGACAAGGTTTTCTTTAAGCTATTGAATGCACAACAATCTCTGAAAGGAGGTGGCAATTCTAAATTATCTTTATAGTATTGTGGGCCTTGGACAATTTTACAACATGTGGGGGATTCTGCTTACCTTTAAAACTTGCTATTAATTCAAAGATTCATCCAATGTTTTATATAAGTAAACTTAAAACATGTTTACACTCTAGTGGTATTGTGGATTAGTCCATCATCCAAATCCCAAAGATTAATGTTGAGAAGGCTAATTTGGCCAATATTCTTACTCAAAGATTGGTGAAAACACACTAAAAGACAACTCAAGAGTTATTAGTTCAATGGAATAATTATTCTATAGACAAAGTTACATAGGAAATTGAGAATAATATAAAGAGAATGTTTCGTTTAGTTATAACTTAAATAACATTCTTAAGGAAGGGGAGAATTAAGTTTTATAACCATATTGTTATATGATTTGAGTTGTTTGTTCTATTCTCATTCTATTAATAATATTATTTTCCAAAAAAGCTATATTGTTTTCTTTCTTTCGTGGCTATTTATTATGACATTAGTGTTGTCATTTGCACATTTTTTCTCATGGCCATATTGTCTTGGACTCCCTTCATGTGAGGCTTATTTAGCTTTTTAAGACTAGCATCCCTGGTTAATTCATGGGGAGGGAAGAATAACATGAACCATAAAATATTTTATAACTTGTGGGATTTAATTTTTAATGGCCTAAAGTTCACTCCTTGTTCATTTTAATTTGTCAGAAAAGTAAGTTCACAACCATAATATTCAACTAAGTCTTCTCTAAGAATCTAATAGTACAATTTCAAATTCTATCAAGCTTCAATTGCTTCTTGGTGTTAAGATTTATGGGCCATCTTTGGGAGGCTGTGTATCTAACACTATCCTCTAAACCATAATGAAGTTGGCCATAGAAACTTAGTCACATTCTGCCAAAGCAGTCCAAGGCCCATTGGCCCCATTTGGAGGTACCGAGAGATCCAAACGCTAATATTTCAAGCTCTCGCAAAAAGCATTGCTAGATCGACCCCCTTATATACTCAAACCATGGCACTTTGCCACGTGTCGTGCCACCACGAATTTTATTTACTGGGAGCTGAACTCTCGGCCAAATCTCCACTTAGCGATTGCAGCCTGGCAATGGCAGCCTGTATTTGATCCTCCCAGAATTTGGGACCCTGGCTCTCACTTCCCTCCGTGGCACTGCTCCACGGTCTCTTGGCCAGATTCGCGTCCTTGCAGCTCAACCGCTCTATGATCTTTTGAATCTTGTCCTGGATCCTGGCAAGTGCTGCCAATTGTGCTTCTTTCTCCTTGTTGAGACATCTGTCGCTGCGATCTACTACTTCTACCCCTTGCTCCATCTGAAAGACAGTAGATCTAGAGGCTATCTCCAATTCCAATTCGAAGTTAGCAGAACCTTGGATGCATTTTTTAGTGGTGAAGATTCTGGATCATCGCTGGCCTCGAGTTCCCGAACGCGGAAGCCCTGAATTCTGCGAGAGTGGTAGCACATACGTCAAAATCACTTCAATGTCACAACTTTCTTTATTTCCAACCACTCCTGAAAGACTCTAAAGATTATGGAGGATCACTTGACCTTGTCTTTCCTTCATCGCTGGGGATTCTACAGCAGAGAATTGCTTGTAATCGCCTCCTAATGCCCATTCTCTCCTGTCAAACCATAATAAAGATTTAGAACCAGCTCAAAATCTCGGAGAGAAAGTTCTTCCAACTTTAATATTAGAGAGCGAAATGAATCAAGCTGGTTGGCACCAACGGCATTCTCTGATCTTCTCTAGCAGGGAATTTTTCTTCAATTGAAAAACAAAAAAAAACAACAGAGGAAAACGCCTGCCACTGACAAACTTGTCATAGTTCAAAACTCTCCACCTTCGGTAGCATACATGATCCCTGCATACATGTTAGCCAGCAGCACGTACTTAGCTGCAGCGTTCCGGTCGTTAAGCTCCGCGGCATGCCGCGCGGCAATGGCGCCTCGGCATACGTCACCGTGTTTACCGCACGCCCCCAGCAGCGTCATCCAGCCCACCAGCCCCGGCTGATATGGCATGCAGCCCAGCAAGCTCTCGGCCTCGTCGAGCTGCCCCAGCCGACCAAGCATGTCGACGATGCAAACGTAGTGCACGGCGCTGCAAGGTACTCCAAAGTCATCGCTCATGGACACAAAGATCCGCCACCCTTGGTGCTTCAATCCGGCGTGGCTGCATCCCGAGAGTATCCCTGCCAAGCTCGCCTCGTCCGCGTTGAATCCTTGGAGCTCCATCTCCGAGAAGAGCTCCATGCTCGCGCTCCAAGATCGTGACCCGCCCAGCGCCGCCACAGCCCCAGCCATGGCGTTCCAGCTCGCGAGGCTCTTACGCTGGATGCCGCGGAATGCCACGCGGGCCTCCTCTAAGCTCCCGCAGCTCGCGTACATGGCCACCAGCGCGTTGCCGATGCACGAGCTCTCGCCCAAGAGCTCGCCCGGGATGGCATCACGGTGGAGCGCTCTCCCCACCGCTATCTCGCCCAGCGCGCCACACGCGTTCAGCAGGAGCACGAATGTGATCTTGTCCGGCGTCACGCCGCCAGTGCCGCGCGTCGCATTGACTAGTTTGACCGTACCGCCCCTGCCGTTGACTGTACCGCCGTGGTTCAAGAGCTCGAGCGCGTCTCTCGGGCGACCGTTTTGGACGTAGACCGCGAGCATGGCGTTCCACGGCACGATGGTTTTGTCGGCAATGCGCTCGAATGACGATCGCGCAGCGTTGCAATCACCGCACTTGCCAAACATGTCGATCAGCGCGGTGCCCACGAACACTTCCGACTCCAAGCCGCGCGACACGACCGCGGAGTGAACCTCCCGCCCGGCGTCCAAGTCGGAGCTCCCTGCGCAGGCCTCGAGCACGCTCACAAACGTCGTCGCAGCCGGCTCGATCTCCATCTCGCGAAACAGCGCGAACGCTTCCTCGCGGCGGCCGCTCTGGGCGTAGGCCTGGATCATCGCAGTCCACGCCACCGTGCTCCTCGAGCGCATCGCGTCAAAGACTCCCCTCGCCTCGTCCGGCCGCCGGCGCTTGCCGTACAAGTCCACCATCGCATTCCCGAGCACGCCATCGATTCCTAGCCCGGATCCCAGCGCGCGCTCCTCGAGCGATCTCGCCGCCGCGAGCGCGGCAAGCTCGTCCCTGGAAGAAGAACTGGATGCCAGCGCGTGCACGACGCTCACGAACGTCTGCTCGCTCGGCCTCACGCCTTCCAAGTCCATGGCGTGGAAAAGCTCCATCGCCTCGTCGCTGCGATCGCTCTGCGCGTAGGCCGCGATCATCGTCGTCCAGGATACGACGTTCTTCCTCTCGATGCTTGCGAAGATCTTCCTCGCGGCGTCTGGCATGGCACACCTCCCATGCATCGTCACCAGGGCGCTGCTCACGACCTCGTCCTGCTCGAATCCGTGCTCCAAAACGCTTGCATGGAGCTCCCGCCCGAGCTTCCAGTCCGAGCACACCTTGAGGAGCTCGAGGTACGTGACGCAGTCGGGCTCCACGCCGTGGTTTCGTCGCATTTCCCGGTACAAATCCATAGCCGTGCTCGAGCTCGAGCTCCGGGCTTGCGCTGCGATCAGTTGGTTCCAGCAAAAAACGTTTTTTGCGTCGTGCCGGATCAAGTATCTCCGCGCATCGTCCAGGCTCCCGAGCTTGCAAAACATGCCAACGATCGCCAGTGCCACGGCTCTCACGGATCCAAAACCGCCATCCACGGCTCTTGTCTCGATCTCCCTTGCTTCTTCCAGATTCTCGCAGGCCTCGGCGATGGAAGCCAGAGTATACTCGTTTGGAGTCACGTCCATAGCCTTGTAGAGCTTCACGGCCTCTCGGTTTTGGCCACTTAGAGCATACGCTCGGATCATACTTGTCCAGGACACTACGTTCTTCTCACGTAGGCTGTCGAATATCTCGCGAGCTTCTCCCGGACGCTTGCATCGGCCATACATACCGATGAGCGCCGTCCCCACGACGAGATGAGCTCCAAATCCACAGGCATCCACGCGAGCACGTACATAAACCGCTAGATCGATCGAACCAAGCTCTGAGACCGACGATATGACGCTCACAAACGTTACTTCGCTCGGCTTGACTCCTTCCAGATCCATCTCTCGAAACAAATGCAATGCCTTCTTGCCATGCCCGGTCTGGGCATTTGCCGCAATGATAATGTTCCACGAGAAAACGTTCCTGTCGCCCATGCTTCTAAACACCGCATCTGCGTTACCCACGTCCTGGCACTTTCCATACATCTCCATGAGAAGATTTGCCAGGAATCTATCAGATCCCATCCCCGATCCAGTAATCTGCCTGTGTAGGGACTTACCCCTGGAGAGATCCCTGCTGCGAGCGCATTCTCGCAAAGACCTCGCCAGCCTGCCACCATCTTGTGTGTTGGATTCGTGAAAATCACCCGCGGAAAGATGGAGATAGCAAGACGACCTTGGCCTTCTAGCAGAACGACCAAGCATCCACTGTTAAGTCGGGCAGCCGAGGTTGGGGCCGATATGCCTAGCCGGGCACCCGAGATAGTAGCGGAGACCGAGCTCGACATAATTCACATTTGCTGCCACACTGCCAGCCAAAGCTTCTGGATCAAACTAAGTACCATCGTTTTTTGGATTGATGGTGGCTCGTTCTAGAAACTTTTTATGCGCAGCTAGCTGTGTGTCGCTACAACATCCAACCCGATTGGGCAGCAGCCCCTCGTGGAGTTGCCGGACAACTGCCAGGATCTTCTTCGCAGCATCAGGTCTTGAAGGAAAAATATAAAATCTGAGAGATAGGGACTTCGCCATCGTCGGAGAGCAACTTTTGAGAGCTTGCTACAACGTGGGCGATCGAGGTTTTCTGCTTTCTTTAAAATAATAATAACTTATTATTACTGCTACTATTATTATTATTGTTATTGTCAGCATATAGAAAAGACTCATTCATTTCCAAGCGGCTGTAAGGCCATTGACAAGAAAAGAGAAAGATGCTCTTGGCAGTGGCTCCATTTGGCTGTGTCTGGATGGATCGGCCGCCTCGAGATGTGTAGAACAACACACCCATTATTATTACAGACTTGCAGCCAAAAGCTTGGAGCAAACCAAGAAATTTTCCCTCCAAGGACAAGAAAAGTGGGGGATCCGTCTTGAGCATGCTTTGTTTGTGGGTGTGCCTCGATTTTACTCACTACCAAAAGCAAAGATGCTAGCAACGGTGGATTTGTGAGCGATTCATGGGAGCATTTGTCATGAGAGATGGGCGATAGATCTTTCAAAGGCTTCTCGCTTGCTTGTTCTTCACATCAAAGAAGAGAGAAACTTGACGCTAGCTAACTCAATCTTTCCCATCTTTCCCCCACCGACTTGGCAACCCATGGGGTCCAAAACAATTTGGTGCATTGATTTAGCGGTGGAGGTGCTGCCACCCGCACAGTGCATCCCTGGCAGTGATCAAGGACGTGTTTCCTCGTCGATCCACATAAAGAAAACGAAATACATTTTCCAGGCATGAGAAACCAAAATATATATATACTGTATTTCTTTCTTTCTTTAAATTTTTTGGAATGGTGTTATAATCGGGCAACAAACATGCGTACCACGACGGTGCGCCCCAAAAACACGCAACACGAAAGCAATCACACCGCAAAACAAGACAAATTTTCTTGCCTTTTTTGACCCCCCCAAACTCTCTTTAATTGCAGGAAAACAAAAGAAAAGCACGCATTTTCCAAAAAAGAAACTTAATAAGAACACCTGCAGCTACCCAACGAATTTATTTCAGTTTTTGCCTAGCGAGGAGCTACGTCGCCAGATTGAATGAAGCAGACTGTGACCACACCACCCCTCCAGAGAAATTGGATAAACAGCCCAAAGTGATCCCATATAGTGACATGACTCTCCAATGCTCTTCTTCCTCTAAGTTGCGATGGAAGTGACAGATCCAGAGATCAAACAAAAAGGAAAAGAAAAAGATGTATCACGTACGTACACGGTGGTGGGTTATACTGTCACTATACCCAGAGTACTACACACACATGGCTACATGCCACTTTGAATGGAAGTGACCACGAGCAATGGAGTTAACAGTCCCTGTTAGACTTCTATTTTTAACAGGACCCGTGCCTTTAAGCTTGTCATCCATCTCTCTCTTGACACACACAACATTCTTCTTATATCCTCTTTATAACCATTTTCTCACTTGAAGCGTTGCTTTGCGCGTTTGACTCAGTGTACTTTGGACGTCAGATTAAAAAGCCTCGCTTCATGTGTGTGTACGCTCTCGCCTCCTTGATGAGGAGATTGGGGAGTATAAATACTGCCGTCCCCAAACAATTTCTTCCAAGCGTTTTTACTTTCTCTCTTGTTCTGCTTCGTCCTCGTTTTCGGCCGAGAATTCATCTCCAACGTTTTGTTTGCTTGCTCTTGTCGTTGCTGGTTTCATTTCCCCCGAAAGTTGTCAGCGAAAGTATGGCCGAGAGAAGCTCGAAGAATGCCGTGGTTTTCCTCTTGTTGGCCATGGCTTTGTCCTGTTACTTTGTCTTCCCGGTCTCGGCGAGCAGTCGAAAGCTGGCCCAAGCCATGAAGCAGCAGCACAAGGCGGAGGAGCTCGCGTCTCAAACGCCGCCGGGCTCGGCTACCAGCGTTGCTCCTCTCGATCCTGCTGCTGCCACCACTCAGTTCGTTGCCCCGGACACGAACTCCAACAAGCTCGATTCCGCCCCGGCCGAGGATGATCTGCATTACGTGAGGAGTGCTCCCAATCCGATGCACAACAAGTGACATACCTCTCTCAAGTATCTCGTAGCGTAGCAGCGGATCCGCCCCGGAAGTTCCCAAAGTTCCATCTCCGGGAGTTTGTAGGAAGACGTTTCCACCTGGTTCAAAAGTCGGGGGCTTTGATCTCGAGTCAAGTCGAGTCGGGTCGAGTCGAGGAGTTTCTTTCCTTCCCGGTGGTGATGGTCGATGATGATGATGATGATGATGAAGATGATGTTTCTGGCAAGTAAAAGAAGAATATCAGAGTCTCACGACTTGAAGAGTTTCGTGTCGTTTTCGTTCTAACATGGACTTTTGTTCTTTGTTCTTTGTTTCTCTTTCTTTCCTTGTTTGCGTTTCAGCTGAAGGAAAATCACCGTTGGAAGGTCGTTTGGTCAATCATCGCCCAACAGCAAGTCGCGGCAGCCACTCAAATCCTTCTGGATCTTGCACTGCTGCCGAATCAATAAATTAGTCCCAGGAGCGAGCAGCAGCCACTCAGATATGGTCCCCCGGCTCGTACGACGCAATGGAAACTTTTATCTCTCCTGTTCGCTGTCACTCCTGTTCCATCATCATCAGCTGCAGCAGCAGGAGCATGGCATCCAGAGTTAAGAGAGGAAAACAAAAATAAAAGAAGGAAAAATCTGCTTGCCTTCCAACTTTAACTTCTCCACCCGAAAGCCGTCCTGGGAGAGAGTGGAGCGTCGAGACGAGAGATGACGAAGACCGGAAGATATTTTCCCGGCAGCAGCGAAGGAGCTCGCGTGTTTGGAGCTTGGATCCACTGCGGAGGGGATGGGCGATGATTGCCAGCATCACGGACAGATTGTAGGACTGTCGTGAGACGAGAGAGATCTTGACCTTCCTTTGGATTGGATTGCAAGCAACAATGGCCTCCAAACTCATTCATGTGTCCATGTTTCTCGCTTCCACGAGTGTCCTGTCAAAGGCTTGTCTGCGTGTGTCCCATATCGATATGTCTCGTTGCTCTCAAACGCTCCAGCGAGTTTCGGGACGGGAGGAGAGTTGTAGTCCATATGTTTGCGATGAGTACTCGTGCACCAATCTATGGAGAGCTCCAAAAACTCAATCGTACTCTTCCACTCCTGGAAATGCGTGCTTGCAGGAACAAAGAAAAACGGGAGTAAGGCAAAAACGTAAAAACGGGAAAGCAAAGTTCGGATCGAAAGGATAAGGGAGAGAGCAAGCTGTAGTTTCATCCTCATTCACACTCGCGAAACGACGTCCTACAGACACAGCGACGTAATGGCGTCAATGACACAGTGATTGACGCAAGGACAACAAGCACAAAAGAACACCGTGTTCTTTTCCGTGCACCAAAGCTAGGAAAAATATCACATACCAAGCAGAAATCGCAGTGAGCGACCGCGAGTGAGTTTCTTGCCTTCTTTTCCATCTCTGGCACGAATGCATCCTACCAGCAAGGCAAATCCAGCCGAAGATGGACTGAACACGAAGAGGGAGGAAACTTAACACACAGGCGAGACGAGCTATGCCAAAAGGAAAAGTGCTCCAACAAAAAGATCTCGCTGGGCACAGAATAAAGCTGCGATGATGATCCATCTAGGCTATACAGCGCTGGACATGGCTGCTTGATTCAAGACACGGCAAAGACACACACATACACAGAGCTCTTCTTCGTTTCCGACACGAAACAAGCAAGCTCATAAAGAAAGGAATGGGATTTGCAGGGCAGTCAGGGACCAACTTTTACCTGTGCGAGAGCGCCGGAGGAGCTGGCGATGTGGACATTGCGAGATCTCTCGGCGGATCGCCAATGACGCGCTCCCCCCATTTTTTAACTTTGAGTTTCTAAAAATTAGGGCTCTTGAGGGCAGGTATCGCTCTAGCTTCCTCTCTTAGTGGTTCTTTCGTTCTCACGCTTTTGTGGTTGATTTCGGGAAAAGAATGTAGTTTCTTCGATGGTATTGCCAGTTCTTGCACATTTATTTTGTGAGTTCTATCATTAAAAATGTGTAGTTTTATATATCTTTGCAGAGTTAGTGGATCTGGCAGCACTCGTTTTCATTTCGTTGCCGTCTCGTATAGTCGGTACCGACGTCCACTGTTCGTATTCCTTTTTTTAGTTCTCTCTTTAACTCACGCTGTGCTAGGAAGATCTTATTTCGCAACAGCTTCTGGACGAGGTTGGCAGTACTGTGGTAGTGGAAACGCATTGTATATGCGAGACAGCTTCTTCTTTTATTTCTCTGCTCCTACATGCTTGAAGGTATAGTTTCTCTGGAGCAGGAAAACAAAGCTATCTGGCTGCCCCGAAAGAAGGTTCGCGTTCTATTCTCTTGCAAACTATGAAAGTTTTTTCGCGTGTTTGTGTTTGTTTCACGCATATACTCATTTTCGCTGCAATTTCTGAACTCATTCTTGACATAACATTGACTTTTGCTCGATCATTCCTTCGTTTGTAGATCCCTCTTTTTCACTTTCTTCCTGTCCTTTTCTTATTACATTGAATAGTTTTGTACAAGTATTATCAATCGTGTTCGAGTTGAGCAATAGACATCTTATAAAGTGTATGTCCCAGACTTCTTTCAACGAGCTCTGCGAGGTATGGAAGGTTTCTCTCGTCGGTTTTGGATTCACAATCAACTGTTTGCAGACTCTGACTATGGACTCGTAAGCCGATATGATCCAATTTTGGTTCCTCGGACAGGTACTGTAAGTATATTTTGGTTACCATTTCAGAGTCTTACAGGTTCTATCTATCTATATATGCTGTTTTGATAGTCTTATAGTGCCCAACTTGAAGCATGAGACTGATGGATGCAAAAATGCAAGTTGGATTATCTTTTTCGCGTCGGTGGCGTCCTTGTTGTACTAGTGTTACTGCCATATCCATTTCTCCCAAAGCTTCAAGGTGTTGCTTGCTATACTGTCTCATCGTTGTAATTATTAAAACTGGCTTATCGGTACGACTCGTTTCACCATTTCGTTTCCTAGATTTCTCTTCTATTCGATATTGCAGGGACTGCGTTCTTTATTCTCGTCAACAACTCAGTGGCATGTATTCAGTTGCGAGCTCGAAAACGAAGGGACACAGGAAAAATCGCAGCTAGAAACTGCAAATGGAGCCTTGTTTCTTTCTAGGCCCTTCAATTGGAGGCTTCACTCGCGGGAAATTTTAAGCACTTTCTTTTAAACAAAAACTGGTGTTTTTTTTGTTTTTTTGCAGAGTTATATGCTTTAGTCCTTCCCTCTGATGCCGCAATCCAGGTATCGATTTACTCTCCATCTTTTCTTCACCTTTGTGGTGCTTGTGTGATTTTGAGGAAAGAAAAATTATTTTTCTTTTGATCGATTTGCATTCATCTCTATCTCTCTATGTCGTCTAGTCATTCTCGGTTTAGTTAACTGTTTGTGATGATTTATGATACTCTTTCAGATAGCAACTGCTGTAAATAAAAAGTCTGGCGATCATGGAGTCATTTTTGCTCTGCGGTTTGCCATTTGTGAGCTCATTCTTGCAACTCAACATTGAAGTTTGTTAAATCCTTCATTTGATTTGGAGCATTGTGCAGCGATCATTGTCTACTTCCTTGCTCAACTTCACTTTCTTTCTTTACTCCTCAGTTTTGTACAATCTGGACTGTTAAAGGATTGGACATCTTACCACGATCTTGTCTTACGCGGACATGTAAAGTGTCCACACTTTGATATTTCACAACTATTGAGATGTCCCAGAGCTCTTTCAACGCGCTCTGCGAGGTATGGCGATGTTCTTTGCTCGGTTTTGATTCTCAATCAACTGTTTACAGGGTTTGCTCGCCCCTGAGGACGAGGAGCAGCACCAAACGCACATCGTGGAGGGATGCCCCGGATGCAAATGCTCGCATTTGCAACGCTCGGGAGCTCCTTTTCCCAGAGGAATGATGCTCGTTGTCCTAACCATGTCGATGCTGAATGGTAACTTACTTGAGAGACTACACTTGAGATCACCAAAACAGTTCCATTCTTTGCCGTGCAGCGCTACCGATCCAGATCCTCTATCCATTCCTTTATTTTATGGTACGGCATACAACGTTGATACTGCTTCACCTATAGTCCTTTGTTTTCGCTTTCAACAGGTTGAAGATTTCCATGTCGACAAGAGGAAGATTGGCACATTCGCCGGCCTCATTGGTAATGCAGTGATTTCTTCCTTCTTTCTTTGTTATTCATTAAGCTAAGCAGCCAGTGGATATATGGTTGGAAGAACTGCTACCGGTTTTGCGTGGGGATATATGGCCGATCACCACGGAAGAAAACCGGTCATCTTTTGCGGGATGCTCTCCTTGTAAGGCTTCATTCGTGGTTACATGTTTTTTCTTATTCTCGTCATTACCTGCAGGATTGTGTTCAATGCTTTGTTCGGTGTGAGTACCTCTGTCTGGATGGCATTCATAACGCGCTTTCTGCTTGGAGCGGGCAATGGTCTGTTTGCCATTTTGGCGGTAAGTAGAATATAAAGTTTCTGCGTTTAGCGAACGTTTCCCAGGTTTATGCGACGGAGATTTCTAGTATTGAGCATCGGCCTTTTGGACTGTCGACTGTAAGCTTTAGATTCTCTGGGTTCCGAGATCGGCATAACGTTTTTCTTGATTTCTAGAATACTATAGTTTGGGGACTGGGACTGATCATTGGTCCAAGCATTGGAGGCTTTTTATCAAAGGTTTCATCACTTGGAGATCTATATCTTACTCCTCTTGTTTACTTGCTTTTCTCTGTTTCCAGCCTGCAGAGAAGTATCCTGGTCTTTTTGAGAACACGTTCTTTGACAGGTAGGCGGAATGTTCTGACGAAGAAGTGTTCTGTACAAAAACGCTTGAACAGATATCCGTATTTGCTTCCACCGCTAGCATTGTCGTTATTCACATTTTTTTTGATGTTTTCCCTCCTCCAACTTCCGGTGAGTCCTGAATTTCGAGTAGATTATCTGATCGCGAGTGCTCTCACCAGGAAACTCGGCATAACCATATCATTGCATCTCCCAACAAAAGCGAGAAGAGTAACTCGATATTTAGAAACTATTCTTTCTGGATATCCAACGTCGTCTACTGCTTGTGGGCTTTTCACGAGATTGCATACAATGAGGTAAAACTTTGGTTTCGATTTCTCCTTTATGTTTCTTCGTTATCATTTTTTTGGTCAAATTTGCAGACTTTTCCACTTTGGGCTGTAAGTCCTGGTGGACTCAGATGGTCAAGCCAAACTGTTGGTTTGGTTCTCGCATTTACAGGTGACGAACTCGAGAGTTTACTTCAAGCTGTGACATTGTTTTCTCTTTTATTTTTTCCATCTCAGGTGTTTGCCTGGTGTTTAATATGCTGTTTATTTTTCCCATGCTCATAAACCGTTATGGTCCAATTTTGGTAGCGCGGACAGGCACTGTAAGTATATTTCGTTTACCATTCCAGGATCTTCCTTGTTTTTCAGGTTCTAAGCCTAATAGTGTTACTGCCATATCCATTTCTCCCAAAGCTTCAAGGTGTTGCTTGCTACGTTACCGTGATTATCGTTATAGTTATTAAAACCGGCTTATCGGTACGACTTGTTTCACCATTTACTTTTCTAGATTTCTCTTCTCTTCGATATTGCAGGCAGTAACAATCACTGCGTTGTTTATTCTCGTCAACAACTCAGTGGTATGTATTTGGATGTGAGCCCGAAACGATGATATTTTCCATTCCAGGAAATATCGCAGCTAGGAACTGCAAATGGCATTTCAACCAGCCTCGTTTCTCTCTCTCGAGCTTTAGGCCCTTCAATTGGAGGCTTCATGTAAGTCCCTCAGGTTTCGTTCTCAGCGTATGTGCGTTTGGTTCTCGTGTAGATTCTCGTGTGCCCAGGCCCGACCAGACACCACATTTCTTCCTGGTAAACAATGCGAATGCTTGCTCGCAAGTTTACGCTCCCTCTCTACAGGTAATCAGCTACTATTTTCTTTCCTTGGCGGCTTTGCGATCGTCGTTTTTCTTGGAACTTGGGAGCCAATTCTTCCTAGCTCTACCAATAAACCAAAATTCCACCATGTATAGTCAAGTCAATATAATGTTAGTTGGATTATTGAGATCTTATTCTTTGTAGAGTTCCTGATAATCTCTATTTAGAACATTTGCGCGGCCGTCGCGTTAGAGGGGTTTGAGTGTTGTTCAACAAGCGGGAGGATGTGAAACTGGGAGGGATGGAGCACGGCCAAGTTCTTCAAGTAGGTGCGTAATGCGATCCTCTCCGACGCACCTCACACATGCCGTGTCAGCGCTTCATCCTCGACATCGGCGCATGCCATCCTTGCAAAGAAGTTGTGGTTCTTGTATTTGGAACTAGAATAGTTTTAAAGTACACGATCCAGGACAAATCGCAGCTAGGAACTGGCAAGCCATGTAAATGGCATTTCAACCAGCCTTGTTTCTCTCTCTCTCGCTCTTTAGACTCAATTGGAGGCTTCGCGTATGTCCCTCCAGTTCCATCCCTCTGAGCATATGTGCGTCTGGTTCTCGTGTAGATTCTCGTGTGACCAGACGTTGCATTTCTTCCTGGTAACTCTCCTTCCTCCCTCTTCACTGGTGGTCAGCGATGGTCGTTTTCCTTGAGCTCGCTCTACCAATAAACCAAAAATATTGCTAGAATATTGCTATTATCGTCTTAAATTATGGTGTTCCTCTTTTTAGGGTTCTTGAGAATCTGAGAAGACCATGCCGAGGGAGTCATTCAGAACCAAATACATTCGTGCGGTCGGGGTCGCGTTGGAGAAGACAGAGCACGAGGACGATCTCGACTGGGAGGCGTTCAACAAGCGGGAGGATGTGACACTGGGCAAGGGATGGAACACGGCCAAGTTCTTCAAGTACCACGAGTGCGAGAAACTGTGCTGCAGGTGCGTGATGCGCAGCGGAAGGGTGTTCCTCTCCGACGCACACCCGCACTGCGAGCTCGTCAGGGAGAAAGTGCGCCGCGCGATTGATCCACCTGTGGACGCGATCCCCTCCCTCTTCCACCCCGACAAGAGGAGCATCCGGATGAACATGTTGGGTGGATACGAGCCAACGGTTTCCCGCACCGAGCGTCCGGATCGTCGTGCTCTCACCTCCAACTTGCCCTGCCAGCGCTTCATCCTCGACATCGGCGTGTGCCAGACGCTGCCGGAGCTGCTCTCCTACACCGATTGCTACTTCAACGTCCACGACTCCAGAGTGCAGATCTTCCTGGCGCTCAAGTTCTACTACCGCGAGTCTGATCCTGCTGCTCTGATGCCCATGCTGGCCGTGGTACACGAGCGGATGGAAGATGGTAGCGTGGCGTGCACTACTGCGGTTTCATTCGGCGAGCAAGGCCTGCGTCCCAAGACTCTGGAGTTCCTGAGGAGCAAGGGGATCGAGGTGACTGGCGTTGGGCTTGGCGGGCCTGCCTGTGACCAGCCTGGCTTGCCTGAGTACGAGCTCAGACTAGCCACCACCAAGATGCTCCAAGGCGGTCCTTTGGATTCTGACAGCATCAAGGAGCGATTCGGCGATCACATAAAACTGGATCTTAAGTGCATCCAGGATGCCTACTTGAAACGGGCCAAGGGTCCTCCCAACTATTGTTTCTAGCTATCACAATCTCCACAAAATTCTACAGACTCGTAAGTGATTAGGATCTTCAGCTTGTACGGGTACCTATATTTTCTAGCATACAGATTGATTGGATACACAAGTGAACCCTAAGCGATGGCGAGCGGAGATTCAACCGGGGTGCTGGAATTTGCTGATGCAAATGTTCTTAATTAGGCGTTTCACATTTGGCACAACGGGGATTTTGGAACAATCAACAATTTCCGCCTTCATGTAAGCTGTTTTGTGGATGAAAACAATGCCCGTGTCTATTGTTGCACACTTTGGCACAATATTGCCAACTGAATTTTAGGTATGTAGATTTGTCTTGTTTTGTTTGCAGGATACCCATGGGAAGTTATCCCTGTATTGAAAAACACATATGAGCTGTGAGTTTTACTTTAGTGTTTTGTGAGGAACTTATACTTCCTGTGACAGGTATGGTCCAGTAACTCTGCTTTGGAGCACAAAGCAATGGTTTATTTCCTCGCATGCCTGAAAGAGTTTGCCGATTTGCAAATGCCATGGACCCGGCTACTAGAGTGGCTCTAGACAAATGCTTCACGCTACCTTACAAGTAAGTCGTTCGTTATCAACAACGCTCTCTCATCGGCTGTTTTGAAGGATTGAGAATGACAAGGTGGAAGCTATTGCAATCGAGTGGACAAACAACCACCTAGAGAAGTGGACAAAGGCTCTCAAACTTATGCTCTGTAATCTTAAATGGTCACTGTATTGGCTGATAGAGGAACACACTATTTCAACCAGCTTTCCTCACAATCAGTACGTATATCCTGTCTTATATTGGTTTGAAAGATTAGCTTTTTAATCTTCCTTGTACCTTTTTCTTTTGGCTAAAATCTCTTCTTATCAGTTTAATAGCTAATATGTAAACTGAAGACAATCCAGTGACAACAGAATAAACTTGGTGACAACTAAGGACAAACAAAGACAACCGAGGACAATCAAAGTCACAACTAATATACAATGAAGACAAACTAGTCCGTGTGGTACTGCCCAAAAAATTGATCCAACTTTCTTGGTTATAAAATATTCACTAGAATCTTCTTGGCTATGGAATGGCCATGGGTGGGATCATAGCCCTTTCCTGTCCACTTTCCACACACCTTTGCCCTGGTGCACCTGGGAGGCTTCACTAGGATTCCCAGTACCATAGATTTCTTCTAATGCATGCTATGAGTTTGGTTATGAACAAGAGGCTTCATTGGATGAGTCTTAAAAGCTTGGTCACAAACAAGAGGATGCCTCTAAAAAATAAACAATTTCTGTTCCTAAGGTTTGTTGCAATTTTTAATGTGAAGATGGTGGTTCTAAGCTTTCTCTAGGACCATAATGTTTTGTAAATCCAAGAATGAGTAGTGAAGAACTCATTAATACATCAATTCTTACATGCCCAAATTTGTTATACCTTGTGAAATGGTTAAACATGCAGCGTAAATATAAGGAAAACATACTCTGAACTTCCTTCAGTAACTACTAGTGATTTAGTAGAGCCCTTGCCAATAGCTGTGAAGGCCTAAATTAAGAAAGGCAAAGAAATGAAAATTATTATCCAATCTTGTTTTGCTTTAAAGAGACAAACAAGCTCTTTAAACAACATCAAACTGATGCAACCTACTAAATGAAACCTTCTTGCACTACTAGCAAAAACCCCTATAGATACAAAACCCTTACCTCTGCTCCTATGTGCAATTGGTCTCCAACACAATAACCCATTGACATTGCAAAAATGAAAAAAAGAAAAAGAAAGTCGGAGGTTCTATATATTATATAACTTGGATTAATTTTTGGTTTGCTTAAGCAAATCTGAGAATATACTTAGATATTCTAGGATATTTACCATCTAACGGTTGTTATTCATTTAGATTAATCTTGTATTTATAATTTATAAACTTTCTTAAACCCTTTCTAGTATATTCTTTTTTATTCTATTATCTAATGGTTGATATGCAATAAGATTAATCTTGTGTTTATAAATTACAAACATGCTTATAATTATAAATTTTATTTGATCGATTGGATTAATAAGTAATAATAAAATTAATTAAGCAAACTAAATGTTGCCACATGCAATGTATAACAATTTTTTTTTACTTTGGTTGTCCTCGGTTGATTTTGATTGTCCTCAGTTGTCATCAAGTTGTATTTGGTATTGTCTTAGGTTATAGTTTGCTTTACAAATTACATGCTATAAATATAAATTATAAACCAAGAAATATAAACATTGTCAAATTGTTTTGACGGTCACAAACCATGTTTTCCTCATACCTTTAATTTAATAGCTAATATGATCTAAAACTTTAGGGCGGGATGGCGCTTCGGGGAGCTCACTCGCTGGCTCTGGCGCTTGATCGTCCGAATGCCGGTAGGAGGTGTGTAGCTGCGAGGTGGAATTGGGGCGAGGCGATGGAGCGCGCCAAGAGGAGTGTGCTATTGCCTGCCGCATTGAGTTTGTCCGTCGCCCTCTCTTCTGGTGAGTGATTTATGTCAAGCGTACGTTTTGTGTGATCTCCTTTCGTGTTTCAAGGCCCGACGCTGCTGCAAGCGAGGCCGGAAGGCGTGAACAAGCCGGAATTGCTACCGCGAAGCTACACTCCAGTGATTGACGTCGCTGGATTTCTTTCAGAAGGTCAGGTAAGCAAGAAATATCTAGCGAGCAAACTTTTCTTGTTCCTTTCCTTTTACTTTAATGTTCTTGCTTGGTTTCTAGGAGGGGCGCATTGCCCAGGAAATCAAAGAGATAGAAGAGCTCACTGGATTCAAGCTCCGAGTTCTTGCTCAAAACTATCCCAACACTCCAGGTACTTGCCTTTTGCAACTTACAACAAGAACAAATCTGTTGTGGTTTTTGCAGGGTTGGCGATCCGAGAATTCTGGAAAGTCGATGACAATACCATTGTTTTCGTTGCTGATCCTAGCCTTGGTACGCACCATCGACTTTGACGCATAGTTCTCACCTATGCAGAATAAAATCGTGGCAGGGAACATACTAAACTTCAACGTCGGTGCGTCCGTAGACCTTAATGTTCCTCGCAGCTTTTGGTCGAGGCTGGCGGGCCAATATGGAAATGTATTTTACTGGCGTGAAAAGGTTCGTTGATCAACTTTCTTTTTCTTTCGTTTTTTCTTCACAGTGTAAGACTTGATATTTCTTTCTCAAGGGAGAAGATGCTTCGATAGAGGCCGCTGTTGCAGCTATCAGCTCGTGCTTGAGAGAACCGCCAGGGCCTAGAGCTTGCAGCACCATAAACTAGCAAAGTCTTCGTGTCATATACTACTACCCAGCGTGAATGGTAGACTGGAATTTGACAAAGACGTGCGCTTGTCGTAGAGAAACGTGTTTCACAGAATCCGCCGTAAGAAGTTTATTCGCCTTTCTTTTCTGTTGCGTGTTTTTGATTGTTTGGTTTCCTCAGGGCTATCTATCATTGAAGTGAACAGAGTCTAAATACCACTGAAGCATAGAGCCGCTCTAGCAAAGATGCAAGCTTCTAGCAGCAGCAGCAGCAGGATCCATGGTAAGAGGTGGAACCTACGTCTAACAGGCAGGAAGAGGGGAAGTTTAGTAGGATTGGAGCAAGCTAGACGAGGCAAGGTAAAAGGGCATGGAAGAAGCACTTCGTTCATGGTTCACTGTAGCCTGGGAGAAGACAGGCATTTTCACAGGGGGCATTATCTCTACGACATTGCCGATTTTTCGGCCGCGGAGCAGCACGAGCAGCTTGTGTTAGGAGCACCACCTCGACCCCGACGAATCATTCTGGTACGCCATGGCCAAAGTGAAGGCAACATTGATGAAGGTGCTTACACTCGGATTCCAGACTCCAAGATATCTCTCACCGAGGCTGGATGGAGGCAGGCCATAGAATGTGGGAAAAGGATAAGAACTCTAGTCGAGAGTGATGGTGCTCCAGACTGGAAGGTTTACTTCTATGTTTCCCCGTATCGTCGAAGTTTGCAGACGCTCAAAGCGATTGGAATGGCATTCGAGCGAGAGAGAATTGCAGGTGTCCGAGAAGAACCGAGGCTCCGTGAGCAGGATTTTGGTATGTTTTTATTATTTTTCCTCGCCGTGAATTTAACTCGGAACCTTTTTCTTTTTCACTTTTTCCACAGGAAACTTTCAAGACCAGGAGCGAATGCGAGTTGAAAAAGAAATCCGGCTGCGTTATGGTCGATTCTTCTACAGGTTCCCAAATGGAGAATCTGCAGCAGATGTCTACGATCGTATCACAGGTATCAAGCACTTTTCGTCTGAAAAGTTCAGTTTTTCTCTTTGCACTTTACAGTTTTCGTACACAGGATTCAGAGAAACTTTGAGAGCAGACATTGACATTGGTCGTTTCCAAAGACCCGAGGACAGGTCAAAAAACGTGAACTTGGTTCTCGTGTCACACGGTCTTACTTTGCGGGTCTTCCTGATGAGATGGTACAAGTGGACGGTGGAGCAATTCGAAGGTTTATGGAACTTTGGCAACACGGGAACCATGGTGATGGAAACCGGGCCCGGAGGACGGTAAGTTTCTCATCAACAACTTAGCCAATACTCTTTTGCTCCTCCAGGTATAGCTTGCTTGTTCATCACACACGAGAGGAACTTAAAGCTTTTGGGATGACAGAGTGCATGATCGATGATCAAGAATGGTATCTAAGCTCTCGCTCCAATTTCCAGTCGCTGAAATTCCTCTCCTTTTTATCTCAGGCAAAAGTATGCCAAGCCTGGGGAGCTCAACTACGACTGGCTCACGTCCGGATCAAACTTTTTCAGCCATTTTGATTCCGACAAGGACGAGCTCTCCCAAATGCCTTCCGAGATAAAGGATGCCTCGTCAATGAGAGATTTCTTCCAGCCGGAACCTCCTGTCGGCTGGCCAAGTTGAGAATCAAAATCCTTTCTTCGTGAGAGCTACAAGAGCTACGTGTAAAATATACAGCAGCGAACTTGTTCTTTTGGGAAGAACCAAAAAATGAGAAAGACAACAAAATTTTTGTTTCGCTATCTTCCTTCCATTGTTTGACTCTGGAGCTCCCGAAACGCCAGGAATTCCCTCTCCCATTCCTGGGACTTGATCAAATAGTTGGACAGCTTCGCGGTAACGTTCTTCATGGGAGGCCGCGACTCCGGGTTGGAGTCGATGCAAAGCCTGGCGAGAGCAGCGACGCTCATCGCCGTGTCCACCGGATACGAGTCCCGGAGCCTGGCGTCGATCCACAGGCGGAGCTTCTTCCGGGGATCACGCTCCTCCATGATCTCCGTCACCTCGTCCGTGAGGGAAACCACCTTGAGCTTCTTGGTCGCGGGATCCAGCTGAACGCCCGGTTGCTTGCCGGTGAGGAGCTCCAGCAGCACCACCCCAAACGCAAACACGTCCATCTTGCTGCTCACCACCCCGCTCGTCTGGTACTCGGGGGACATGTAGCCGGGAGTGCCTGTGATCTTGATGCTGTTCTTCCGGACGAGCTTCCGCCTCGGTAGCCTCTCGTGGTCCTCTAAGTTGATCTCAGCGTCCTCCTTGATCGTGGCGCTCGCAGGGAGAGGCGACGGGATCTCTCCAACCAACTGTGGGATGCCAAACTTGACGATCTTCGCTCGGAGCTCGTTGGTGACGATAATGTTGGTGCTCTTGACGTGCTTGTGCACGAAAGGCGGCATGGTGTGGTCGTGGAGGTACTCGAGGCCCAGCGCCACGTCCAGCGCGACCTGGAGCCGCGACGTCCAGCTCGCCAGCGCGGAGAAGCCCTCGGCCCTGGGGCTGTGCAGCGCCTCCCGGAGATTCACCCCCTCCTCGTACTCGTAGCAAACGTAGACGTGCTCGCTCTCGCGCAAGCACGCCCCCAGCACCTTCACCAGGTTGACGTGGTGGACGCTGGTGATGATCTTGAGGAGCTCGATGTAGTTCCCGACGAAGCTCCCTTTCTTCTGGACGATCGCGACGTCGGCGCCCCGGACGAGAGCGCGGAACACGGAGCCGCCGATCTTGCTGGCCTCGCTGAAGTTGTCCGTGGCACGGACCAGGTCCTTGTATCGGTAGCGTATAGGCCCGTCTGGGAGGAGGTCCCTGATCCCGGCGAGAGAGCTCGCACTGCTGCTGGACGAGACCCTCGAGTCCCTGGATTCCCTGGAATTGTTGGTCTGGGACTCCTTGGACGCGGTGGTGGTGAAAGTGGTGAAGCCGCCGTCGGTGGTGCTGCCTAGGCTGCTGTCCCGGGCCGCCGACTCCCTCCTCGATGATTTCCTGTCACTGCCTCTCAGCGCTGCTTCTCCTCCTCCTTGGCTGCCTTTCTTGTCTTTCCTACTGCCCGGCAGGCACATTCTAAACATGAGCTCCTCAAACCTGTGCCACTGCTCCTCGCCCGCGCGCCGCGGGATCAACATGAAAGAGGTCTCGGTCCTGTTCTAAAAAATCCTTCCCTTGGATCGAAAATGCGAGGAATTCCTGCCCGGGGCTCCAGCTCCAATGCCCCCAAATCGATGGCGCACTGTCAGAGAAGTGCGGTGGGTCTCCAAAACCCTAGCGCTGGCGCCACCACCGTCCGCGAAACGCTAACAAAAGAGGGAGCTGGTCCGACGCGTCACTGGAAAAGTCACACGTGGAGGCGCCAACTGTGCCACGTCACCACATCCGTATGCTAACTTTGGCTCTTGTAGTATCTTCGTTTTTCCCGAGGCGATTATTCTCTTCACTGCTCTCCCGTAGTTCTTGCTCCATATCGTTTTTTTTATATGTATGTATATCTGTATGGACTCTTTTAGATATCAATTTTTTTGTTTTACTAGCTCTCATCACACTTGGGCTTTGTTTCTAGAAGCACAAGAAAGTCAAGCACGCACAAACCATTCACACTGAGTTTGGTGGCCAATAGCTAGCGTTTTTTCTGGAAGAGTGTATTTTAAACGCTTAAGATCTGAAATAACCACAGTTAGAAATCACCATATCAAACACTGCTCTGTTGGAATGAATGAAGCGAAGACTTTGTTGGTTGCTCAACAAACTATTGCTGCTGCTGTTGTTGAAATAAAGACGAAAGACTTTTGGTGGGCACCCCAAAAGCCTGTAAAAACTTAATAACCTTTTGGATGCTGGGTTTCATCATTTGACTATACTCTGCGTGACCTGCCTTCCACTATGTGATTTACCATCATCCTACGCCTGACGTACCAAGTAAAACAAAATCCAGAATATCGTAACAACACTCGTGCAGTTGAGAAGCTTGAGAAACTTGGACTTGAGGATGATTTATTATGTGCCATGGCCTGATCTAGATGAGCACGTAGCTGATATAACTTCTTCTCACTGCCCCTCGGCAGTCTGGCAAGACCTCGGTGGTGCTGAGGCAAAAGTGCTACCTTGTACTCACACCGGATGTAAGTTCAGGAGGCCAAACCCTCAAGTTTGAACTGGAAGCGGCAGACGCTTCTTTGAGTGTTGATTCGTTCAACAAAGTGATTGGGCCTTCAGGAAGAAGTTTAGCAAAGCTATTCCAGCAACCGGGGAATAAAGTTAAACGATGCTCAGATGCTGATATAAATCTTGCATAGATGCGGTTACTCAACTTTCGCAAGATCTCAGAGCCTTGTGGGACAAAGGAGACTTTAGCTTCTGATTACGCCGCGGCTCTTTGCATTTGCAGGACGGACTACAGCATGATCCTGTTCGTCCTTGGCGGACCATGCCTCCCTCCCACCTAAGCATCGTCGACGCTAGAAAGCGGGACTGGTAAGCGCGAGCTAGTCAATCAAAGAAGAAAGAACAAAGAAAAACGGAAGTGTGAGAGAAGCAGCTTCCACCCTGGGCTCCCTTTTGATCCAATGCGAGATGGGAGAAAAGGTGGTGGTGATATGAGACTATATAACTAATAGAGAGAGAAAAAAGGAAGAAATCTCTCTAAATGTATCTGTTCCACAACACGAAGCACCACTGTAGAGTCTTTGGAGTTTCTACCCACAAAGAGCAGGGTCCGGGTAGCGGCAGAGACAATGGTCGTCGAGATCAAGGACAGTCAAGCAGTAGCAAAAGTATGCTAGAGAATTGTTCTAAAAATAAATGTGATAAAAAAAGGTTTTTGTTTTGAAAGAAATAAATTCAATTTTCTTATAACTGTGTTGTGAACTTGACATGGAAAACAGAAGATCCGATCCAGGATTCGGCATTTTGGCTATGCCGCTCTGTGGCATGCATTGCAGAGCAACACAATGCTTTCTCCCCTTCGCTCGCAATGCTTTTGGTTTGTCCCGTGCAATCCTTCTTAGACTGACACTGTCTTGTTCACAAATCCAAGATAAATTTTTCAATCTACCTCATAATATGCCTCCATAGTTTATGTATTGTGTGATGAGTTTTCCTCAAATGGAAGTGATTACAGCAGAAACATATGAGAATCGTTTTAATAGTTCATTTTCATGGCGAATACCTTTGTACTTCACATCCAACTCTCAATCTTTACCTCCTCAAGCTTTACATTTTCCTCAGGAGTGGGTGGAAAGAGGCCATCTTTACTTTGTTTTGACTTAGTCTCCAACCTCAGTGTATGTAGATTGGATCTCACGTAGCACGGGCTGTGTTATAACTGGGCGTGTTGGGTGTAGTTATGTTAATAAGCATATGATCCTTAAATAAATCACAAAGCAAAAATACTTAATAACACATACCAGATGTTATTCACAGTATTGTGTCTCAAAATGTATTTTATTGTAGATCGGGCTAATTTTTTTAGTTTTTCTTTTTGCAAAGGTTTGGTTGAATGGCTTTTCTAAAGAGTGTACACAAGGAGAAGTTATATAGTCTCATAATTATAGTTGATGTGCATAATTCAAAAAGAGAATAAAGAGAAATTTTCTATAGCTCTTTCTTCGTACTAAATTAAAATGTGATATTTTTTATATCTCAATGTTTTTTTTTTAATCTTAGGTTTACTAGCTTAAAGATTATAAACACTTAAATGTTACAGAAAAGAATTATACAAGATAATATTCTTAGAATATTCTTAAACATGCCTAAATAAAAGTGGATAATAATTTTAGTTTTCATGTTGTTAATTTTAATCACCATTTTAAAAGTTCTAATACTGTTAATATTCAAGGAAGTGTTATTACAAAATTGTGATTGTAAGTATTGAAAATTACATGTTGGAAAGTCCTTTTGGATATTTTTCTTTAACTGCAACAACAATAAGAGATCAATATTTCTAAACCTTTTATCAAACCCTATTGTGTTAGTGAAGCATTTTGATTATACTTAGACTAAACAAGTACAAAGATGGAATTCTTATATACTATTAGTTAAACATACTTAGTTTCTATCTCATTATGTCTTTTATTAGCTAAGAACCTTTGCATATTAAACATTAGTCCCTCAATATTGCTACATAAGAGCTTACCATGTTTAAACACCTTTATGTGTTAATTTTGTTCAGTCCTATTGACTATTTATAAAAAGTTTTTAGATTTACTAATTGGGTATATCTATGAAATGTGAAGATTGTTCTCAACATAATAGTGTTATTCCTGCATATAAATTTGCAATCAAGCACCATTATAATTGTTTTAGAGACTAACTCCTAGATTGAGGTGAAAGCCTAAAGTATGTGTTTATATAGGAGGGGTGGTTTCTTGTGGAGTTCTATAATAGGGATAGCTGGCATAGTATATTCTATATGACTTGCATTAGACCACTAGTATGTTAAGATAGCATAAAATTTCATTTGGTTCCACTTTATGTGGTAGGATGTTATTTTAACTAATTAGAAAAAGAGATTTATTTTTATTTATGGGCTTTTTTAAACCCTAATGACTTATCTCTCAAGTAATTCTTTTTGGTTATTTGATATTTTAAAATTATTTCAATGTCGATTTATGTTTTGTCTCTTTACTCTTTATGCTATACACTTAGCAGTTATTTAGTGTTTTAGTTCTTTTGGTTATATGCTTGAGAGTTTAGATCCATCTTTTTATTTAATGACTTAAGGCTAGCCACATGTTCAAGGGTTATATTCTATTTTGTGGTTATTTTATGATAAATAATAATAGAGTAAAGAGTGATAACTACATACACTATAAAAATACTATCATATTTATATTAATTTCAGTTAATTTCTTTTCCTATTGTACTTATTATTTATAACATTTTTTCTTTTTAATCTATTAAAAATAAAAATAATTAAATTAATATTTTTAATTAAAATCTATATTGATAAGCTTTATTTAAGTATAGTGTGATTTAATTAAGTATTGGTATTTACTGATATATTTATAAGACATTAAAAAACTTTTTAATGCAACAACACTAAATTTATAAAGTTTACTATAACTTATAATATATCAAAACAGTTCAAAACTATATTCTAAAATAAAATAGTTTTATAATTATAAAATGTATGACTATGTTTTTAAAACCTTAAAATATTATTTTAAAAATTTAATTTATTTAGTGTTGTATTTATATAATTATATTACTCAATGATTTTAATTAATATCTCATACTCTTTAAATTAATTATATATAGCACAAATTATTCATGTATATTACTTAATGACTGCTGGTTATTTTGGTATATTCACAGTTAATGGTTGAGATTTATATGTCATATAAATATATGAATAAAATGTTATATTATAAGGTTTATACACATATTTTAATGATTTTCCAAATTGTTTAAAGATTTTTTAGAAGATAAAATTTTAAAATCTTAATTTTTTAATATAAATATTAATAAATATATTAAATTATTTTAACCTAGAGTTATATGAGTGTGAGTGGGGAGTGAGTTGCTAATGGTGATGCCACTTGGTAACTACTATTATTTAATTTGGGATAATTAATGTTTAATAAATTTAATATAATAAAGAAGAAAGCTTAATATATGCCATATTTTAATTTAATGCATAAAAATTCCATTAATAGGAAACGAAAAGGAGGAGCAAACCTTTCTTATGCGTTGCATATTATGGCTTAAAATATCATGCTCAATAGCATACTAAAGAGAACTCAAACTCTTAAGCTTAGCTTGCTGAACAAAATGCGTCCTTACCTACCATGTTGCTGAGAAGGTAAGAAAATTTAGTGTAAGCTCCTGAAATGATCGTCATCCTTCCAAAATCTGGGTCGGGCAGGGAGTAAGCAGCAGATTCTTTAGACAAAAGGTGGCGTCCGTACCACGCCTCGTTTTGAGTCGTATCAATGCCTAGATTGTTGTTAAAGTGCTTGGATGCACGCTACAGATTTCTCAAACATAGACTCAATGCACAGTTCTTAGAGCTGAGCTGACAAAATACAAAGGCAAATCCAGTTTCCATGTACGTAGAGCAGTGACAAGTCCATCAAAAACCATGGTGCCATGGACACCGGTGACTGCGCCTGGAGAAGTTCCATAGCCTTTTTCTTCCAGGTTCTTGGCCCTGCCATCAGTCGAACTTGCTGGGAATGCCCCTGTACAGCTCCACCTTGTCCTTGACGTATTTCTGACAAGAAAGCGCCACTTTGTTGCGAGGATCGAACTGTAAAGTCTGCTCGTAGGCCTTCAGAGCCCGTTTCCAGTCCTTCCGCTTCTCGTAAGAGCTTCCCAGGTTGTTCCAGGCCACAGTATAGCCTGGGGACAAAGTCACTGCTTTCTCGTAGTGGGAGATAGCCTGCTCGACCTTGTTCTCGCTAAAGTACGCGAAACCAAGAGCATTGTACACCTGGAAAGGAGAAACGAAACTCCTGAATAAAAATAAAGCAACACACACACAAGCAAGAATGCAAGACTTTATACCTGTGCTAGTTCTTGCTCATCGTCCTCCCATTTCTTTATGGCTTGTTCCAAGTATTTTCTGGCAACGGGATACAGCTTCTTACGCAGCATCACGGCTCCAAGTTCGTAGTATTCCACCGGAGTTGCCTGACTCGTTCTCACACGCTCCTGGCAGAATCGAAAACAAAAAAAATAAAATTATGAGTAGGCTAAGGAAGTGTCGAAGAATCCATATCAGACCAGCAACTCCTTTGCAGCCATTTCGAGTTCTCGGCGGACGAGAATTTGCCGGATGACGAAGAAGCCACCACCTCCAAGTAGGAGCAACACTCCCCCGAGGTAAGCATACTGGAATCCAGTCTCTGCGAGCGAGACACTGATCTCTCCAACACTTCGATTTCCAGCAGCGTGTGCAACACCGGTTTGTAACAATGGAGCAAAGGTGACAAGATTTTGAGCGATGCGAAGATCTGCAGCGGAAACCATTCTTTCCATCGTCAGAAAAGCAAGAACGAAATGAGAAAAACTTCATCGAAGAAATCGATATCATCGATGGAAAAACATCGAGGAAAGAGAGAACACGAACTTGGCGAAGAATCCAGAAGACACCTTGCCTGAGAAGAAGAAAAATGAAATCCTATTATTTTTCCAATCCATAGTCTACATTCTTCCCACATACCTCGCAAAACTTTCCGACTCTTCTCGGCTTGGCACAAAATCTCCTCCGCTGCGCACAAACACTACTCCTGATCGACGCCGCCTCGTCCAGCGAGCCGCGAAGCCCTAGCAACGAGGCTCCACCGCTGGAGCACGCCATAGCTGGGGTTTAAAAAAATCTAACGGTTCCACCAACAAGATAGACCATGGCATACCGCGCGTCACTTCTAGTACCGCCATACTACCGCGCGTCACTAAATCCATTTAGAAAGTCCTGTTCCAAGCTCAAAAACAAGGGAGAGAAAGAAAAGCTGGAAAAGAACACTATAAATTCGGTGAGCACTAGCTATATAAAATTCCTGCCCGTGATCACGAGGAATATAGACGTCTTCGAGGTGTTCTTCGGGAGTATCTCTCCAAAGTTCTTGGAGAGGAAAATATAGAAGAATAGCCGAGCGATCGATCCACTAGCTAGGCACAAAATCGTGCAGCAGCTGGCTCTCCATATGCTTCCTGCTCGCGTAGTTCATCCCGTCGTGCAACCCCGCCGCCGCCGCCGCCGCCGCCGCATTGTCGTACAAGCTGGAGAAATCATCGCCGCCGCCACCTCCACCACCTCCGCCGCCACCGCCGCCACGAGCCAGCGCGTGGAATCCCTGCGGTTGCAAGTAGGCTGCTGCCGCCGCCGCCGCGTGAGGATGGATCACTCCTCCCAAGCTGCTGTCACTGTGCTGGAGTCCCAGAGTGAGAGATACTCCACCTCCCGGCGAAGGATTTAAGTTGTATCGAAAGCCTGGATTGGCGGCGGAGAAGCGGAGGCTCTGGTCGTGGTATCCTCCGCCGCCGCCACCTCCATAGCCGTGGACTCCCAAGCTATCATCGCTCTCCGGCTTCATGTCCACTTCCATATGGTGGTGTCCAAAGTCCGCCGAGGATGGATCGTGGTACCTGGATTTCTTGAGCTGCTGGTGGTGCTGGACGCTGGAATCCTCGTACAAATCCGCTGGAGACGATCCGACCACCATGTTTTGCTGCTGCTGCTTCCGGAGCCCCGGATTGTAGTCGACCGGGCTGGTCTCGTGGATGAAGTCCTGCTGCCCCGAGTGATCCATGGACATGAGCTTCCCCGACTTGGGATCGGTGAGAGCGTCACTGCTGTTCTTGAGCTCGTTTTCCTCGCTCGCGGCTTGCATCCGCGCCACCGCCGCGTCCAGCTCGTGATCTCTCGTTTCTTCCTGGTACATCTCCTCCACCATTGGCTTCCATAGCCTCACTCGAGCGTTGATGAACCAGTTGGACACCTGTGATCGCGATAAGTGTCAGTCGATACTCCGTTATTTGGAAGTTTAGCTCCAAGAACATTGGAGCATTAAAGTTCCGGGAACTTTGGGAGAGGAAATTACCTGACTTCTTGTAAGACCAGTCTGCCTCGCTAGCATCATCTTGTCCGCGTCTTTGGGATACCTGGAAAATCCAGCAAAGTTAGCTTCGCTCGAGCGTTACACAAGAACACTTAATTGCTCGGTCGATCCATGCATGCATCACGTCAAACATTTCTACTTCCAGGAAGCGACAATCGCCCGCAAATCAAGCAATCACCCAGTCAGGGACCAATCCAGCAGCACCAAACATTCCAAGCTCCAACTTTCGAGGAAGAGAAAAAGCCAAACAAAACTTACGGATGGAGGAAGTGCTCAAAGAGCCAAGCTCGCAAGATCGAAACCGATCGCTCGGGGAGTCCTCGCTGCGGCCTCCAGGCGTGCTGGTTGAGCATCCCGAGCTGCTGGAACGCTCGCTGCTGCCGGATCTGCTGGTCGATGAAGCGGAGCCGGGAAGTGGGGCTCTTGGTGGTGATCTGCTTGGAGATGTCCTCCTCGCCCAGGGACTTGCAAACCAGCGAGATTTGCCCCGTGATGGCGTCCTTCAGGCACCGAAAGTAGCGAGACATGGCTTGCAACGCGAGAGCCGTGTAGGGAGTGGCCGCTCCAACGCCGGCCACCGCATCAAACGAGCTGATCACCACTTGCATTTGATCGTAGTACTGCCGGTATCTCCGATCCACCTGCCAAGAAAAACAGAACGTTTTAGCTCGATCCAAATCACGCATGGGAAAAGTTCGTCACCTCTTGGAGCATGGCGATGAGCTTGGATTTCTTCGTCTCAAGTTCCTGCTTCTCCTCGGCGCTCAGCGCGCTCGTCGACTCCACTCCACCTTCGATCGAGCTTGGGGCCGCTGCCGCAGACGCTGTTCCAGTCCCACTCGTGGTAGCACCCCCAGCTCCTCCAGTTCCAGGCGCGGTTTTAGCTCCTCCGCCACCCGGCGAAGTGGAGCTTACGGCGGTATTGTTTCCAGCGCTCACGCAAGCATCCTTCTCGTTCGAAAGTTCTTGAGATGACCCCGCAGCCGGAGCTGGAGCGCTTTGATCTTTGCTCGTCGTCGGTGCTGGATTGTTGTTCGCCGGAGCACTAGGAGTAGTAGCAGAAGTCGGGCTTGTGAGAGGGCTCGCCGCTCCTCCTCCGCCGCCCCCCGCCGCTGTCCATCCCTGAGAGTTGGATGGTTTGCTCTTTTGCTTGCCACCTCTTCCAACGCTGCAAACTTCCTCTAAGAGCTGCTGGCAAGCCTTGAGGTAGCGGCTGCTGGAGATGATGTTAAAGCTGGCGGACATGGCCGGAGTGGCGCTGGCGGCGTCCGGGACCTTGGGAGCGGCGGCGCCGCCAATAAAATCCCGCCGGAAGTGGCTCAAGTCCGCCGCCAGCTTGGATCGCTTGCTGTCTGCCTGGTGATCCTGGCCGTGATCCAGCCCCGACTGCTGGATCACGTCGAAAGCGTTGAGCGGCGGCGGCTGCTGGGAGGAGAGCGAGAGCGAGAGGCCCTGGAAGACTCCACCGCCGCCACCGCCGGCGGCGCCACCCGGGGCTTGCGAGGAGAGATGGTCTTGCATCTGGTGGAACGCCGCCGCCGCCGCCGCGTGCTGGTGGTAGTCGGAGAAGTCGCTTACGTCCATCGACGTCTTGGCGGCGCGCTCGCTCCCGGGCATGAAAACCAGCTCGTCGCCACTCTTCCAGCTCGAGAAGTGCGATCCTCCGCCACCATTTCCACTTCCACCACGGTACGCCACCGGAGAGTTCGACACGGACGTAACTTGCGAGGTCTGGGAGAGTGAGTTTTGCGAGCTGTGGAGCGGCACTCCAATGGGAGTCTGCGACGCCGCCGGCCCCGGGATGAAAACCATGCTCCCGGGAGCTCCCGCCGCCGCCTGGGCCGGCGGCGGTCCATCTCCAGAACTGGCGGCGAATCCGCCGTATCCGGCAGCAGCCGCCGCCGCCGCTGCGTTCATGAGATAGAGCTGCATTGCCTCCTGCGAGTTTGGAGCTCCGCCGCCGCCGCCGGTCGCAAAGTAAGCGCTCAGGTCCCGCCCGGTCGTGCTTCCAAACGTTTGCTGCATGCTCATATTGTTCGCGGCAAAGCCACCGCCGCCAGGCCATGCAGCTCCTCCGCCACCTTTTCCAAGAACGTTGGAGTTGAAAGCTCCGGCTTGCGATCCCGGGGTGTAAACCACGCCGCCTTGAGTGATACCATCGGTGCCACCGCCGGTGAGAATGTAGCCTTGGTTCTTCCCGGACACCGCGGTGAGGAGGTCCGAGCCGGACGTGTAGTTGTAGAGCTCCGGGCCGAGCATTGGATTGTTGTAGACCGAGAGCATGGCGTCCTGCCCCGCGCTTCCGCCATAGCCACTACCACGAACCGACGCTTCCATGTTGTCGTGATGATCATGACCTTGGTGGTGGTGGTGGTGGTGGATTTCTCCGCCGCCTTGCGATCGTCCATGATCGCCGCTGTGATTTGGAGAGGCTGGCTGATGCTGCTGCTGCTGCTGCAAGGAGCCGGGGATCCGAAGCTTCTCCCGCCGGCTTTGCTGCGCTACGTGCTGTAAGTTGGTGTTCATGCTATGGTGGCCAGAGTTTGATCTTGTTTGATCGATGGAACTGGCGTTGATCGCCTCGGCCTTGCTGCTACCCCTACCACCACCGCTGCTACTGCTGCTGCTGTGGCTGCTAAGTTTTAGATCTCCCGTCGCCGCTGGTGTAGATCCCAGAGAGTAAGCTCCATGATCGCCGCCGCTGGCCCGCTGGTGGTGGTGGTGGTGGTGACTGAAATGATCGCTAGGATGATCGCGTGTGGAGGAAAAATAGAGTGGAGTATCGGTGGTGGTGGCGGTGTCTCGCGGTTCGTGGTGGAAGGTGGAGGCGCCGCCGAGGAAGGAGTATGGCGTTGTGGGCGATTGGAACGAGTCTCTAGCACTCGTCAGGACTTGCATCAAGGACATGGTGTTGCGGTGCTTCTACTGGACGAGTTCTTTCCGAGGGTACTTAACATGCTTCTCTAGGAATCTGCGAGAGAGTCAAAGCCACCACACACAAAGCATGCACTCGTGAGCGTGATTAATCGCACAAGCGGCATGAATTCACGAAGAAATAACAAGAAAAGAAAGAAAAAGCTCGCAAGAAGATAAGAAAGAGATTCGAGCGTTCAAACAAGCCATTCGACAAGAGTTTCTGCGAGGACTCACAGCAACTTCGCATTTCAACTTCCAGGCCGAGAGAAATTCCAGAAACTTGGCTGTAGGGAGTGCACAAACGAACGAGTTAGAATTCTCGACAAGCTTTGGATGAAACTAGGAGGAAGATGGATTGACGATGGATAAAAATCACATCTTTGAGCAGGAATAAAGTTTTCCTCTCCCGTTCCCCCTTCCCTCTCCCACAATCTATCCGTGAAGTGACGCTTCTCAAAGAAAAGAAAAGAAAAGAAACCCACAAAGATGCGACGGATGGATGCTTCCTGCTGCGGTGATTTTGCTGCTAGCCCCACAACTTTTGGGATATGAATGAATCTCTTTCGGAAAGCTCGAAAGTTCTCGCCTCGAGCGGCCAGCGCAGCCTTTGATAAAGAGTGGAAGACTTCCATGATGCTCTCAAGAACATAGAGGCTACAGCACTCGTCCTTGGAAATTCAATGCTAGAAGGAAGATGGCCCAGACCTTTGGAAGAGAACAATCCAGCCAAGCTATCGCACGACCAATTCTTTCTATCCGGAAGGCAAGCCCATCGACCCTCTTCATGGAGAAGAAAGAGAGGAGGAAGAAAAAAGAGGGAGAGAGAGAGAAAGAGAGAGTCTAAAGAAGCATGGACCTGGAATCGAGAGAAGTAGAACTCACCAGCGTGATCTTGATAAAGTCCACGATGATCCGCCTCACTGTTCACTCCACCGATCGCAAGAACAAAATCAGAACCCGCAACCAATCGACAGGCTTCCGTCGCTCCACGAGAAAGAAAGAACCAAGGAAGGGGCAACTCGACTACTTCTACCTCGATGTTCTCTCTAGTAAAGAGCGCACACACTCCACACTCCACACGACCACACACAAAACGCTACGCTCTCGCTAGAGCAAAGAGACACACTCTCTAGACTCTCGCGCACACACACTTTGGACTTCTCGCAAATCGATGGAAGAAGGGAGAAGAGGGGAGGAGGAGCACAGCAAGCACTCTTTAGACCCGCCTCTCATCGCTTTCACACCCAACAACAACGCCCTCCAACATCTTTTCCTCTCTAGCGAAGAACAAGCTTGGAGCTTGGATCCCACAAGAAAAACACCACTTTGGCGAGGAGCTCCCTCTCAACCTGGGTTGATCCACGGAGAATCAAATGAATCCACTGCTTCGCAGCTACTGCTGCTGCTCCTTCCTGGATCGATTTGATTTGCTTTCTTCTCTCTATATGCTGTTATAAGTTTGTGCTGCTGGCCGCCATGCTACTTCGATCCACGAATCCGTCCATGTCCGCCCATCCACATCTCACTCTGGATGATCTGGGGTCTTGTTTCTCATCCCCAGGAACTCCAACCACCAAACACACACACACATACACAAAAACGTAGCTCACTAGTAACACACCATGAAAACGAGAGCTTTCTCTCCCAGCCCTTCTCTCCTTCTCTGGGTGTGATTTGACGCACCGCGAGAGGGACACACAACACAAGGAATATGAAAAGGGCTTCTTCTTCTTCTTCTTCTTCGTCCCCCTCCTCCGTCCCTCTTCCCCTCTGTTCTAACTTAAAGTATTAAAGGACAAAGAACTATAAAACGGAGAAACGCGAGAACGTCGAGTAGAGACCAGCCTTGGATCGAGAAATCGATGTTGGTGTTGCTGGTTTTGGCTTGGATCCCACTGCAAGCCACCAAAGTAGCTCGTCTCGCGGCCGGATCAATCAATCGGTCGTTGCTTCGCCCAAGTCTCTCTACTATCTGTGATCATTCCCCATCATTCTCTTCGTTCTTGGTTCTTCTTCCTCTTCTTCTTCTTCCTCTTGGTCGTCGTCGAGCTTCGTTCCGGACACACCAGGTCGGATCAGGCAAGCACGGACCATCGCGATTGATTGCTCGTCGTCGCCGCAGTGGCAGCGGCAGCGCTGCGGACGAGCATCATCGCCCCCCTTTTAAGAAACCCAATCAGTCACGAATCACGAATCACGATTCACGAACACAAGGGGGGCTTGGGACAAGGTTGCTGTCAGTCAGGTGACAACCCTTTGTCTGGGCGAGTGTGAGTGAAGTGAGAGTTGAGAGGAAAGATGAGCCTGATAACGAGAAAGAGCCTCGAGATCTCCTTGATTGATGGAAGAAACCCAAGAACTCTCTTAAGAACTGGAAAGGGGAAAAGAAGCAAAGGGCAAAAGAGAAAGAAGAAAGAAAACGAGAGAAAGAAGAAAAAGGAGAGACGAAGGATTTGAATGAACACCGGAAAGCTGCCAGGAGCAAAAGGCGAGAGAAGAGTATATTATTCTGCTAATGCCGGATTAGTGGGACGGTGGATTAAGCCGCCATAGCCAGCGAGCCGCGAAAGCATGGCACGCACGCGAAAATCGATCGCTCGCTCGGCGACGAGCGAACGACCGACCGATCGGCCCCGCCCTGTCTTTTGGAAGACGAGAAGCTGGATCGATCGACCAACCGGGCAGGCCTTTACAAAAAAGAAGAAAAATTTGGATCCCTCTTTCAATTTCTTTTGTTTAGCTAAGCGCCTCCAAGGCAAGCATGAGATCATCACCAAAGGACCGCGTTACCATAGCTTAGCTTTCGCGGTTAAAATTTTCAAGTTTTTCTAAAATTTGAATTTGAATTTTTTTTCAAAATTTTTTTTAAAAAAAATCTGTTGTTTACTTCCACGCCCGTACATGGGCGACAAAATAGACACTCCCCCGTCGGTCGCTGTTAAAAGTTAAAACCACAAAAACACTATCATTTCGGCCGGCTTGCCTTGTTAATTAACAAACCAAGTGCAAAAATCATCAGTCACCATCCGGTCTTTTAGTCTTTTACCACATCCCTGTCTTAAACGCCCGCCAAGGGATATTCCCGGGCATTTTCTCGACGAGATAGTCCTCTCTCACCGCGGAGTACTTCATATGCGTAGGAATCGGCCCGGCATTTTGAGTGGTTTTCTTTTCCACCCGAGATAAACGATTGATCGACAAGATGCCGCCAAGATCCCCGTCCTCGAATAGCCCTGGTGTTTTAGCACCGGATCAGATCATTGACAACACCGCCAAACGGAATGTTTAGGGGAACCCCGTCCCGGGCATTTCGCCGGCCCCTCGCACGAATTTCCAACGCCAGAACACGAATAAAAAACAATGCCCTTACAGACGGCGGGCAGCAAATGCCCGCAGGCGCGCCCGTACGGGGATGCCGTACGTGGGGATGGCCCATTTTGACCGTCCGATCCGCGTATCCAACGCTCCCAATCATCCAGTATACACTGGGTTGACCAGAGGACGCGTGGCGCCAATCTGTTCAAGACCGTACGAACGTTGTCTTATCCGGTGGTATCTTCCACGAGAAAAACAGCGCCCCAAAAAGGTGGTGGGATAAGCTGGCTAATGGAAAAGAAGATTAAGACTAATGCGGTTCTTGGAGAATGTAATCCCCTTTAAAGTACACTGCAGCAAAGTAGAGGGGGATCAAAGCGTGCCAAAATTTGGATTGGAGGGATACTTTGATGCTTCCAGCAGCCCATGCAGCCAGCCAGCTCTGCGCTCACTGCTAGCAAGCTTGTGACACAAATTGGAGATCGTATTTCTAGTGCTCCTGATGATCTTGCCCCAGATTTGTACCCAAGCTTTAAACGCCCGCTCGTCCTTGTTTGCAAGAGAGAGATATGGAGGCCCTCCTCATCTTCCTGGCGAGATCGAGACGAGAATTTAACTCTTCCTTCATATAATATTTGGGAGGTATCAATCTTTCGCTATCAAGGCCTGTGTGTGCTTTGCAGATGTGTGCCTGGGCCGCTGCTGGCCACTGCTGACTTTGTGTTGGGCTGGGTCAGATTGTTTTTGGGCGATCCTGGGCGGGGTGGTGATGGATGGGTGATGGATCCATCCATCGGCTCTTGGCCGGGTTGGGAGCTTGATTGAATTTCGGGGCGGCGGAAGTGAAGTGTGTGCGTGGAGGTGGATCCGTCCAAGGCTGCTGTATATGCTTCTGGCAGCGAACACAGGCTCGACAGCAAGCCAGCCGGCAAGCAGCGCGAGCCAGAGCGAAAGAAACTTTCGAGAAAAGAAAAGGAGATTAGGAGGATCCGTCCCCGTCTATACTCAATGCAAGTGCGATGTGGCAGAGGAGAGAGAGCGCGCGCGGAAGAGAGAGAGAGAGAGAGCTTACATTGACAAAGCCACCTCGTCAATCACCTTTGTTCCAGATGCGTGCCTACCAAAACAGAGGTTCCTTTTCCTCTCACTCATTTTCTCCTTCCATCCCAGCCAACAGCAGACAAAAGCGGCGAAGAAATTGATTCAATTCCGCCACGAACAAAACAGGGGATGAACAGAGAGAGACGATCATCATATGATCTGATCAAACTATCCCAAACCCGGGTTTCAATCGGCCCAGGCTCGCTCGCTGGAACTGAGCGCCCAAAAGCTCTTCGATCAGACAGCGACGCCATGAGTCAGTTCCTTTAATTTGTTCGATGGCCACTGGCGCCACTTTTTTGTAAACTATTTAGGGCTCTTGCGGATGCTCTGCTTCCCAAGGGAGATCCTCCCGTCCCATCCGAGAGATGCAAAATTAAAATTGTGGGCATTTGCTACCCGACCCGACACATGGTGCCTTTTTTCTACTTCCCCTCACTGCCAAGCCAATCGCCATCGCAGTTCTTATGTTTTTTCAGTTCTCCTTGGAACATCAACGCAAGTTGAAAGGGAATAATGGACTATAGGAAAAAGATCCATGGAAAGAAGGAAAGCAAACGCAGCGACAAAAAGAGCCAGAAGTTATCATTCGCGTGATCAGGCAGGAAGAACAAAGCTGAAAGCTGCCTCGACTTTCTCTCCTTGAGACCACCACCACCACCGGCACCACCATTTCCATCCAATCCATCCATTTTCCACTCCATGGGCTTGGCTTCGCCACCATCAATCAGCAATCAATCCAATCAATCAGCCGAGATTGCTGTCTCAGATAGTCGGTCACCCTCACGGATCAAAGGCTTCTCCTTCTTCCTTTACACGATCCCACAAAAACAAGAGGGGGAAAATTGTCCAATCACTCCAACCATGTCCAAATCGTTCGTTGGTTTGTTCGCCATATCGCTTTTCAATCGGCTTGTACAAGCACCGGCAATTTGGATCTCCCCTCGTGCACCAACATAGAGTGCTCGCTCAGCAACAGCAGCAGCGATAGCGTTTCCTTATCCATCACAGACAAAAGAACTTTTTTTTTTTAATCTAGAGCAAGCTTTGCAAGGGAAAAAAAGTCCTTTGCATATTGCAGCAGCAGCAATGCATACAAAGTACGCAGAGATTTTTGGCTCCTCCAAGTTGATCCCACGAAGAAAGAAAAACCGAAGAACAAAGGGAAACTTTTGCTTGGAGGAGGAATCATAAACGAGAAAAAGAAAGGCGGGATGGGACTTGTCCTCCAAGAGACAAGTGCAGCAGCGTGATATTCTTTTTGCCCAAGGAACGACCACTTCGTAGTTAAAAACGTTTCTCTCAACCTCAAGAGTATCTGCGAGGAGGAGGTCTCAACATCAAAACCCACAAATCTCTATATAGAGCTAGCTCCATCGCCGCAGCCAAGAAACAAACAAAAGCACGAGCTACAAAAGGTGGCGGACACGGACATTACAAGCCTCTCCTCCCTTAAGCCAAAAAATCCTTGTGATTGGAACTGACAGCGATCGAATCGCAAGATTTTTCCCTTCACAATATGGAATTGATTGACGAATCAACGAGAAAGTCGATCCATGACAAACACCAAATGCCAAGTGAGTTCACTCCACGCATACAGGTATATGGTATATCACATCAAAATCAGTCACGCACGTTTCCAATTGGCGAAGCTTCTCTTCTTGGCAATCGAACCAGCCAACAGGGGACGCGTGGGGCAATCCGGCCCGTCCAGCTGCCCAAATGCTGTCTTGGAAAGCTGGAGCAGCCATGGAAAGATCCGGGGAATAAACCTGGATGCTCCATGGATGTTTGAGCTTCCACGCAAAGGCTTCCACGACCGTACGCACACGCGTGTTGCTTGTGGGCCGTCCGTGCCCCATTTTTCCAGCGGCCAGTGGCCCAAGCCAATGCAAAAAAGCCGGTGGTGGCCCGCCTTCTCGGTCTGTGATGTGACGGGCCCAATTGTCCACACCAAACTCATTAAGCCAATTTGGGACCACCACCTCTAGACCATTTATTTTTCATGTAAAACACACAAGTAATATACCTCGAAAGCCGGGCGCGCGCCAGCCAGAACTTTTACTGATTCACAACTTGCGCATACGTACACAGGGGCGTAGAGCTACGCTTGGCCTCGGTCTTGGAAACTCCCGTGCCAGATCCAAATTGCTTTTTCCTTTAAAAAATATGTGTATTTTGAAACGCCACCAAGGGATCATCTTAGAAGTCCGTGTATTTCCTTTCCCCACTAAAGGCAGAGTTTAGCGCCTAATAACATTGGGTATGATAAATGGAGAGGAACATTCTCGCTCTTGCATGGTCTTAACCTATGCGCATACTTTTCCGTGGGGCTCTTTGTTTTCGCCGCCACCTTTTTTCCTTATCTGTGGGGACAACTCGAAGGGAGAAAGAACTTCCTCTCCCTTCAATCAGAAAAATGCCCCAATCATACAGAGTGCTTTCTTCTTTTCGAGTTTACAAACGCCTTGAATGAAAGGATGGAATTTGCTCCCTCGGATGATCCTTGCTCTGGGCTTCGTACTGCACTTGTAGTTTGTGAGCCCACACCCTTGTATACTTCCGGGTTAATTGGTTCTTCGAGTTCTAATTTGGGTAGATCGGTTTGATCTTGCCTTCGGAGTTGCGTGCACACTTTGTCCACTGGGTTGCATTGATTTCCCTTGGAAAAAATTGATGTTTTTTCTCTTTTGTGGCCGGGGAGGTGTTGTAGTAGCTTAGCTCTTTATTTTTTCCTCACCAAAGCTTGTACCTTCGATCTTCCATCTCTTTTGACTTCTTCTTCCTTTCTATTTATTTATTTATTTATTTTCTTTTTTCAAAAAAGTATCTAGAACAATATTTGAGCGCGACTTCCTCTCCCCTTCTTTTATCCCTTTCTTGTGGTTGAGATGCAAATTCCGCGGGGGAGATTTTGTGTGTTGCTAAAGAACTCGAACTAAAAATCAATCTTGGTGTCCAAAGGGGTTGTTTGTGATTGATAGCGACAAGTGAGGTTGCAATCAATCCCCGTCGGCATCAAGCCCCCCAACTTTTTGATCCCCACACACACATTGAAAGGTCTCTTGACAAGGCGAACACCCTCCAAGAACAAAGAAGTTCATGCACATCTGATCTCTTTTAAAATAATGTTTTTTGTCAACTTTTTTCCGGGTTTTCTCAAATGGGGCTTGGACAAACACATGAACTCCAGGTTAACAATCGGCAGTGTGTTTGTATCTGTAGAGGGTGGATTGACCACAAGCCCTTCCGTGTGCTGATGTGAGATGTCGAAGGATCACCAGAAGTTGATCTCAAAAAGAAAGGAAAAAAAGTAAGAAAAAGTAAAAAAGAAAGGTGGTGGAGGCTTTGACTATCTCACAGACATGTGATTTCATCAGGGTGGTAAGCTTTCACTTACAATACGACTTTAGTCACCGTCCTGGGAACTGTGTCATGTCTCGATACCGAGACGAGCAAGCATATATACATTTCACTTAGTGGAACTGGAGTCAAAGAAAAGTCAATCCAAGGTATCCGGAGGGAATCTCAATAGAGGCTCGTCCAAATGAGTGAGTGCTTTGATCGCATGCCTCGAAAACCAGCAACAAACAGCAGTTTAGCGCGCGCACACACAAGAAAGCTTTTCTAGCATCAGCATTCTTTAATATCATTTGCAAGTGTGATTATCTATGATTTGATGATGAGCCCTTCTCGTGGATCACCCCATTCACGTTGAGCCGGGGAGAAAAACTAAGAAAGTTATATGAAACGAATGGGAATGATTCTGGGCGGTGCATTATGATCATCATCCCTGTGAGCACTGGACTAGGAGAGGGACCCCTCTTGAGAAATATATATAGGAACTCTAGAACTTCCTTTTTGCAAACTCCTCCAATTCCTTCCAATTGATGCTACAAGCTTACCATCTAGAAAGTTGCATCTACAAGAAGGAACAGCCCCTCCCCTTGGAAAGCGACGTCGGCGATTCCATCATCTCTGGACGAATCGCATATAAACAAACGAGAAAGTTCCCAAAGTTTTTATAAGAATCACAAGCCCACTGAATGCTCAATAATTTGCGTGCGTGGAAGCCATGGCCACCACTTTGAGAGAGATCTCGTAATGCTGCTCCCATTACCAAGCATATTACCAAGCGCGCTAATCACAAGATGAGGATGAATGGAAAGACTCTCGCAAAAGAGAGGATTTCGTGGAGAATTTCGAGGGGCTGTGGTTGGGAAAGTTTGGTCGGTTTTGTTAAGCGCGTGGAGGCCACCACACTTAAAACAATATAATCATCGAATCGAGCTATGGGTTTGTGGAATCGATGCCACCCAATTATTTAAGTATGGAAAGAGGGAATCGATCTCGCGACCACCACTTGGAGCGCTCGTTTGTTGAATGCGCGTTAGTTCGTTCGTTCGTGTCCCCACAAAAGTTGTGTCCGGCCTGGCAACTCTCGGCTTTCCTCCGCGGGCAGCGCGGGCAGCCTTGATTCCCAGAGATTCCCAGACGAACAAAAGGAAAAAGGAGAAGGAAAACAACAAAGCCGGGATGGCGAAGAAAAGAGGTGTCGCCTTGTAAAAGCATTTGCACTGTGCACGTCCCTAGCCTACGATCATGAGCAAAAACAAACGAAAGGGGGAAGGAAAATCCACACGATATATCTACAAACACTTCAAGCTTTGAGCAGTGGCGAACCTTAGAGAAGAGAGAGAGGAAAAAAAAAAAACTTCTTTCGGTTTGGTGCTGCGACGATGAATCCGACGAGGAGGCAAGGATCCTCTCATTTGCGACAGGATGATAGGCCAAGGCCGCCGCAGAACATTGCGATGACAATGTAGAGCAAGAAGACGATGAGGCACGTCATGCAAGCCCTGCAAAGACAAAAGAGGAACGTCAGTGTTATATATGCTCAAAGCTAGAAAAAAGAGATGCGATGATCATCGGATCGAGAGCGAGAGCTATGGGTATAACTCACAAGAGTTTGGCGTTTTTCATCCACATTGCCTGCTGAAGGCGACGGGATTGTTTTTTGAAGCGGAAACTATTATCTTGCATCGTGGATGTCTTGTCCACCAGGAGCTCTATTCTGTCACCTCGTTCCAAGACTTTGTCAATGTTTTCGACCATAACTGATCGGACCTGGAACACCGCGAGCGACAGCCAGTGTGAGAAGAACCAAACAAAGAATGGATAGTCATGCCTACCTCGTTTAGATCGCCTTTGACCCGATTGATCGTGTCCGCCTCGGGGTTATTGGAAAAGTATTCCATCTGCTGGTGCAAAACTCTAGAAAACTCGTCGTTCATCGAGTATGCCAGAGCGGTGCGAGCAACTCGTCCATATGTCTTGATAAATCTCATGTGAATGTCTTCCAGATAAGCGAAAGGAATTCGTCCTGATCGACAAAAAAAGAAAGAACAAGTGTGTGAGACTAGAAAACTATAGAGCTCCAAAAGAAAGGAAGAAAAAATCTTCACTCACTCACTTCCAAATGTATCTGTTGCCATGCAAAGAAAAGTGAGACCATCGGCCTTCATGATGTGGAAAATGTGGCGATCCTGCGAATAGGAGAGGCGGCTATCGCTGGAAGCCGGCAGCTTCTCGATAATCCGCCGGGCGATGGTGGTAGCATTCCCTGTGACAGCACTAAACTCGGCTAGCACGACCGATCCTCTAGCGACGAGCGCGTACAAGATCGTCATCGCCCTACCGCCTGCCGCTGCTAGTGCTGCTCCTGCTGCTAGACCTGGAGATTGCTTACTGGGAGGAGAGGATCCACCGCGCAAAGCTCGATCGATTTCTCGTTTCGAAGAACCCTAGCCTAGGAATCGACGGCTAGAATTAAAAATGCCATCTAACGGTGGTGATAGAACCCCAAGGACACGGTATTTGTGTTCTCTACTAGTTAGCGATGGCGTCCTCGTCGCAAATATTTCGAGCCGGAGCTGGAGATCCAGTGGCACTTCGATCCAAGGCAAGATCATCGATCGCCTGCTCCTCTTCTACCAGGCAAGCGACGCTGAATCGCGCTCTTGATCGAGCTTCTAGGTTTGTGTTGTTTGATCTCCAGCGTGACGATGCCGCTTATAGCTCGGAAATTTCTTCGCTCCCTGGTCACGCCATACCTGAAGAAGAATGTCACTGCTTCGTCGGCGCTGGAGCTGGTTCGATCGAATTCCGGGGGAGCTGTGAAGTTCGATCATTTCGCATTCCGGACGTTTGGGGTAAAACTCTCGCTCATTCGTGAAAATCCTTTCATTGTTGTCTGGCATTTTGGTGTTTGTCTCCAAGGTGGATGGATTTGGAATCGACTCTATTGCTCAGCTCTTCCTCGATCTCGGCTATGAATGCCGTGACGAGCTTCGTTTTCCAGCGAAGAAGCTACGAGCATTCTGGTATGCACCACCTCTGGATTTTCTTGACATCGAAGGAGACGGTGTTGATGGCCCATTGCCACGGATTTTTATTTCCGAGCTTCTCGTGAATCAACTCAGCTCCGAGTCACAGGTAAGCAAGAAAGTTTTTGATGCGGTTGGTTGAATTTTACAACGCAGGAAGTCATCAAAACATACACAGGCCGTGCGAGAGCTCTGTTGAAACATGCTCCATTAACTAGCGTGCTAGATTGCCTGCCTTGGGAAAATCCATCAGTGGCGGACTACGAACGTCTTGCACAGTACAGAATTTTTCTAATCGAATGTTTTATACTAGCTGATACTTTCTTGCAGGGAGAGCGAGTATGCTGCCTGGACACTTGCCAACGGATATGCTCTGAACCATCTTACAATCTCCGTGCATCGCTTAAACTCCGAGCTGAAGGATATAAACAAGCTAAACGAGTTCCTCCAGAGCAACGGTATAAAACTAAACAAAGATGGAGGAATTCTCAAGGGTACGTTGCGCATGCAGTTTCTAGTCAGGCTGTCTATAAATGTATTTCTCTGTGAATCCTCCAGTTAGTCCTGATAGGGGCTTGCTTCAAAGCTCGACGGTGGCTGATTTGGTTCCTTGTACTTTCTCTGATGGCGAGATTGAGACTCCTGCCTCCTATATCGAGTTTGCACAGCGCCTTGTGCTGCCTGCTTTTCAAAATCTCGGGCCCGATCAGGTACTTCATCTTTTCGCTTTTCCTGACATTGATAGCTGTTTGGACAGCTCAAAGAATGGCATAGGAGGGACGGCTTTGAGGTTGGCAATGCTGACAAGATCTTTGAAAGTACTTCGTCACTTCAAACTGGCGCCCTGAAACAAAGCGCCTAACTACATATCCTTTCAAGGTCTACTTATTTTATCAGTATGGTTTTTTTTACAGCTCACGCGCAAGATCCGGTTTGTACATACGCTTATATAAAGTTTATATCTCTATCAAAAACTGGTTCTTATCCGCCGGAGAAACATATATGCAGACACTCGATACAGTATGGCCATTGCGATGAGGATGCAAGCCTCTTTGACACCTCCGTTCAGATCTACTCCATAAAAGGCCGAGGAAGTTCCAAGTCTTTGACAACCTCTGGCGTCCTTGCAGTCATACTTCTGCTCTGGTGAGTACTGGGTTTTTAAAAGGAGCCGGTACCCATAGAAAATGAAGGAGACGTATTTTATCCACTTCATGAACACGGGCATGTGCTGGTGACCAACAACAGGTTCTAGACGCTGTCAACGCAAAATTTAAATGGACTTACCTGAACGTAGTAGCCTCCAACGAGCAGGAAAAGAAGCAGCACCAAAGATGCAACAGTTCCAGATTTCTTGACATCCATTACAGCAGCTCCCAAGAGATCACCGGCTCCCTATTGACATAAGAAAAAACGTGGAAGCTATGATAACACGCACGAGAAGCTCACCTGGGATGCAACCGTTAACAAGTAAGTGGACAGCAGCGTGAGCATAAAACTCTCTAGGCTGCGATGAAGGCCTGTCATGAAGTACACTATTATGACGAAGATGGTGGGATATATAATCTCTGCTATGATGTCCGAAATGGTGCTGCTTGCGTAGAAGGCGCTTAAGCTGTACATGTCCGCCCCGAGCTCTTTGATAAGAAAGGGTCTCTCCAGAGGGAACGTGGATACCGAGCTGAAGAGCCCGGAAGTGGACCAGAAGATGGCGATATAGAATATAAGTCCGGCCTGACAGGCAGCAGGGAAAGAAACGGGAAATCAGTTCTGGACGAGCAACTTTCTGCCTATATACCTGGTCTCGAACGTCGATTTCGGTATCGAGCTTTGATTGCCACCACAGCAAGCCGAGAACTATGGATACTCCAATGACTTGAATGAAGCGGATGTAATCGAAGTAATCTCTGGACCGCTCCTTGAATGTTCTTTTAAACAGCACTTTAAACTGAAGTGGCCAGGATGATGAGAAGTCGTGTTTGGCTTGGATCATCTCCTTGAGATTGTTCGAAACCTTCAAGGTACATATCTTCTGCTTCTCCTTTGGCTCCAGTTCTGTTTTGTATTTCATTCTTAGGTGCTGTGCTTTTGCAGGAAACATGTCGGTCCATCAGCGTACATGAGAAGCAGAGAACTTACCTGGACAATAATTCGCTGAGTGTCTTCGGGACGTCTTGGGATCGTTGTTGCGTGCTGATACGTTGGAGATACGGTGTGGCAGAATATCTCCGAGTCCAAGACGTTGATCACTCTTGCACCAGCATTATCTAGCTTTTCGTCCTCTGGACTGCGGTTAGTTATTTCTTCGGGGATGCTGATATCGTGCACCACTCCTACAGCCAAATCCAACAGGAAATCCGCCGGGTTCATAGTTATCTCTGGTACAAAGTGCAGCGAGGAAAAGTAACTCATCACTTCCCTGGCAGGACCCGAGTAAATAGTGTGGCCCTCAGATATCAATATCAGCTTGTCAAACATGTGAAACAGCCTGCTCGATGGCTGGTGGATCGTGGTAAGGATTGTTCTTCCTGCCTTTAGAACAAGTAAAACTTTAGATCTTCTGGTCATAATAGCGAAGGAACTTACTTGTGCTATGTTCCCAACAACTTGCAGGATTTTCAAAGCTGTGGCAGAATCCAGTCCTGATGTTGGCTCGTCCAAAAGCAGCAATGAAGGATCAATCAGTATTTCCGATCCTATACTGGTCCTCTTTCTTTCGCCCCCAGATACTCCAGGAATGAATGGACCTCCTATGATGGTGTGCCGGCACCTTTCCAAAGCGCACTAGTCAGCTTCAAATACAGGAGTAGCACGCACCTTTCCAAGCCAAGATCTTTGAGAACTCTATCAGCTTTGGACATCTTCTGCGAGCGGGTCATCGTGTTTGGAAGACGCAACAAGGCAGTGAACTCGAGACATTCCTGGACTGTGAGGTATGGGAAGAGGATGTCCTCCTGCGCGACAAATCCAATTCTGTGCAAAACCGTCGACGTTCTCAGTGGGAAAGAAAGAAAACTCGCGAGCCAACCTCTTCTTCATGAAGGAACCGTATGGAACATCATTAAAGGTGACACTCCCGGACACATCTCTGAGCAAGCGACCGCCTAGAATCTTCAGCAAGGTGGTCTTCCCGCTGCCGGACGGTCCCATCATGGCCAGGATTTCTCCTGGAGCGACAGAGCCGGTGATTCCATGCAAGATATATTTGTGGTGACCGTTGCTGCTGGTTTTACCGCCGGGGGACTGAGATGGAGCGGGAAGCAGGACTTTATATTCCACATTTTGGAACTGCGAAGAGCGACAATGGTTTAGAAGAATGACAACGAGCAAGTGGAACGTGGATTTACCTTCAAGAAGACTCGGACAGGTGCTTCGACCTCCGTGTTGAGCTTCGCGTGCTGGCTGGCTGTGTCGTCCTCGGACGCCGCATCTTCTCCAGGAGCTCCAAAGGAAGGTGGCGCGAGTGATCTAAGCTGAGCGGCCCTGGAGCTGCCGATGGTATTTCTCTCAGGGATGGATTCGAAACACGCGACTCGGTGCTGCTGAGACGAGTCAATTTCCGCTCGATCAAACTCCGGGTTCTCGTACAGGTGGAATTTGGAGGAGAGGCCAGGCATCTCCGCTGCTACGGTGCTGCTGTTGCTGCTGCTGCTCGCGCTTTCCATCATCCTCTTCCTTCCTCAGAGCGAAGTAAGCGTTTCTTGTTTTGGTTTTCTTTTCCTTCCTTCCTCACATAGTTCTATTATTTGACTCCGTCGATGCAGTACAGGGTAAAGATGCTTCTGCTCCTGCTGCTGCTGCTGCCCCTGCTCGTGCTCCCGTTTGTGCCGCTGCCGCATTCCGTTTTCCTGGATTTGGTTCGTTTCTCAAGGATCCACAACAAACCAGAGAAGGTGGTGCGTCACTTAATCTCGATTTCCGTGGCGCTCTTAGCAACTTCTAACACATTTTTGCAGCTCATGCGCTTGGCGTTCACACCACACAAAGCGTGCGGCTCACCTTTTCCTCTTTGTACAACGAGGCGACATAAAAAGAAACCGACTCAACAGCGTTTAATCGAGATTGACAACCATGCCAAGGCTGTTTGCGGCACAAAGATGGTGAGAGTTCAGCGCAACTAAGAACCAAAAAGAAGCAAAAAGAGAGAAAAGGGTCGCTCTCTTCGCCGGACACAGGGAATAAAGGTAGGTTCATTCGCTAGTCCTCTATAATATTCTTGTCATCACCATCTTTTCTTCACAGGACCTTGTGTCTCTCAAGAAGTGTACCTACATCCTGTATAATATCAGAAACGATTGCACAAAAATCTTCCACCGACCAGTGACTTCACCAGTCAGCGGGGACAACGCTCTTTTTTTCCTTTCACCAGATTGGAACGAGCGAAAGAGCTGATCGATCAATCGCATGGCTTGGGCTGGAGGACCCTCTTCATGAACTCGTACGTCATGAAAACAATCCCCACGCTCGGTATGACTTTGAAATACTCTGGCATGATCCCCCTGTACAGGCCCCGCAGCCCCTCGCTATGGAGTATGTGCTTGAGCGTCCCCATCAGGCCCGACTTGTACACGCGAGCCTGGCCGGCCGCGCCTTCCAGCTGCATTCTTCTTCGAATCAGATCAAGAGGAAACGTTGCTGCAAAAAGAAAAAGGCGAAGAAAAATACCAAGTGTTGTTTTTAACTTCCATTTCAGTCTGCAACATACCTGTGCTCGAGCAAATCCCGGCGACGCTCCCGCAACACAAGCTCGTGATTATGTTGGGCGAGTTGGGACTGCATCCATAGATTTGTTCTTTTTGTCAGGAACTATAATAGAAGAAAACTAACACTACCTCTGTGCCACCCAGATGCTCTTCAGTGTTTCATACGCGCAGAAATTGATGGCGATGTTTGGTCCTACGCACTGTAACGAGAAAAAAGAGTTTGTTCTTAGTACAGAGATCGAGAGAAAGTAATAAGAAAACTCTTAAGTGGCTCACCAGTAGCGTGGGACCAATCCCCTTGTAGAGACCCTTGAAGCCCTCCTCTTGTGATATAGTTACAAGGGCATGGACGATGCCGCGGTAGTACATTACTTTTGTCTGCAGCCATTTCCGAAATAACAGGTCATTCCACCTGCCAATGAGTGTATCACAGATATTCAGGAACTCTCATTCCAGCTAAAGGTGATGCCTTTCAACTTTACAACACTAGAACGTCTCTTCTAGCAGGCAGCAATGAAGAAAAGGAATGAAACTAAGTTACAAAACGATGGTTTTGAGAGAAAGATCTCGCTTACCTGTGCTGCCAAGCGCGTCCTCACAAGATCCAGGGGATACGTGAGAGACGCCGCGGTTAACCCCGCCCCGCCGCCAGCCAAGAGCCTCGTCCCCATCCCAACGCCCAAGCTCTCCGGACGGTTTTCTGCTCCAGACATCCTCGTGAGAAACTGGAAATTTTGGAGCGTTAATCTTCTCCTTTGCTCTAGCAGCAAGTACGAGAAAAATGGATAAACCTCCGAGGGGATGGCAGACTTACAAGCTTGTAGTTCTCGTACGAGAAAAAATTGATAGCCGAGTAGGGGAGGCGATGCACGACCGTCACCCCGTTGCCCTTCCAAAACGCTCTAAACCCCTCCTCTCTAAAAATCCGCGACGCCTCGCGCAGCATGCTTGCTTGCTCCAAGGCATGGTTCGTTCGCATGCCTTGCACCTGGATGATTCGTGGCGTGAGAAACCAAGGAAAAAGAAAAAAGAAAAATACCTGGAACAAAATCGTGAGGCGAGCGAGCGGAGCTGTGCACGTCTTGCTCACCGCGCCCGCGACGCCACCGGAGATGAGCTGCGACGCGGTGCCAATCTGCGATGGCCGCACGACCTCGCGCATTGTCTGCTCCACGGGCTCCTCGGGGGCGATGCTGCTGCTGCTGCCGCCATCGCCCACGCCGGCCCGTGCGAGAACTCGCTGCCCTACCCCCGCCATTCTCCCCGCCGTCGTCGTCGTCGATCCCGCCTGGAGCCTTGCATCTGTTGTGGTCCTCGGCGCCGACGCCTCCGCTTGCATTCCCTGGAAGCTAAGCCCTAGATCTCACGCCATGCCTCGCATTCCTCCCCTCCCGGCCGCGCGATCCAAGACGAGCTCGACGAGCAAAACTAGGGTAAATGGATCTAAGAAAAATAGAATAATGCCCAAGTGATCTAGTAAAGTAGTATTAAAAAGGTGTCTGTTGACAGTGGGATTCGAACCCACGCCCTTGCGGACCAGAACCTTAATCTGGCGCCTTAGACCAACTCGGCCATGTCAACTTTGCTTAAGCAGGTTAGTAAGAAGATGGAAAGGGTTAATGGATCATGGAAGCGTTCTTGCGATGCGGTCCAAAAGGCTCGCGAGACCGCTGGGATTCGAGAAGAAGGGTGTGTGATCCGAGGAGATCCTGAAGACGCCGATGGGGGGAGTGGTACGTATGAGCAAATCTTGGTCCTGGGGCAGCACGACATTGTCGTGATCGGTCTTGATGAAGTAGCGCGGGACGCTGCCGTAGCGCGCCTGCGTGAAATTCACGGCGGGATCCAGCACTGGTACGGGCTTGAGGAGGGATTTCGCCAGCTCCACGTTCTGCGCATCGATCGATCGGTCAGATATATCGATTGGATGAAATCCAGGAAATAGTTCGGGGTTTCTTGGAAGATGGGGGGTTTCGTTTCGTCCTACCTCAGGCGGCGAGAGATTGTAGAGGAGATTTTGGACGAGATCGAGCTGGAATGGGATTGCCAGAGGCACGGTTCCTGCAGGGCCGGGCACTGGCAGTCTTCCCTGGAGCTGCGAATTCGCACAAGCATTGAGGAATTCTTTTCTAACGATCGATCGATTGACGAACCTGGTTGTTGAGCGCGGTGCCAGCGGGTCCACTGGGAAGCATCAGCCCCGCGACGTAGATCGCCGCAACAATCTTTTCCGGGAATTTCTCCAGCGCGTACGTGAGGCTCGCGCCTCCAAGGCTGTGCCCGACCAGCACGACCTGAAGTATACAGGAAATCCAATAGCGTCAAACAGGGAAAGGAGTGATCGATCCGAACAGGATGAACTACCGTGCTGTTGTGAGGCAGCTGCTCCAGGAAATCCACCAGTGGAGACGTATATCTGACAAGAGTTCCAACCCTGGTGGGATCGAAGCTGCTGATCCCGGCGCTCAAGAGATCGATGGCGTCCACCTTGTGTCCGGCCTTATGGAGGAGGTTTGTGACTTTGTACCAGCACCAAGCGCCATGCCCGGCTCCATGGACGAGAACAAAGTGGTGTTGGCGATCATCATCGGACGCTTCGGTTCTAAGCAGTAGTAGTAGCGAGGAGAGGAATCCAGTGACGACGATCTTTATCAGCAGCATCGTTTGAAGGTTTTGGAATACCAGCAGCATTAACTTTGGTGACGATAGATCGATCGATACCGAAGTTTTTGGTGCTCGAGGCGATCTGCCAGCTTAAAGTCAGACAGTGAATTTATGTTGGGGGATGCAAGTGTTCCGAATGGCCAAAATTAAAAGCGAATCTCTTCGCGAGGGGAATAGTTTCGGTCGTGCAATGCACGTCGGCCGCTCAGCAATAGGATGAATTCTTCTGGAACAAGTGATCTGATGTGAGCCAGGGAGGAGCTCCCATTACGCCGGATGCATTCAAGGTTCCTGTCGAGCAACAGTTCAATAGCGTGTCCCGCGACCGAGCAAGAGACAACTTACATCCTTCAGGACCTTGTATTTAAATTTAAGTTCTTATAATTGCAAATACATGCCATTTGGCCGAGCTCACGCGCTTACTTGAGACAAAATCTCCCACGTCAAAGCTCCTGTTACTGGAGTTTCGGCGACGTCCTTCCACGAGATCAGTTTTTTCATGTCAGTTCACGAAAGGATGACGAGTAGAACCTGGCTCGCGAAGAGTGGAAGTAATCTTTTAGTCATTTTTTCTCGGTGATCTGGCCTCACTGCTGTGGAGAATCAAGTACTCCATGCCTCTAATTCCCTTGTCCAACTTGACAATGCAATTCGCAAAACAAAGGTTTTAAACGCAAAAGTTTTTTTTTTTTTTTTGGATGACGGTCACAAGCCTCTGGGAGAAGAACTTGAGCTAGCATCATTTGTCTCCGCCCGGGAAAAACTCTGTGTCTCTTTTAAGCTCGCGCAAAAAAGTTGGGGGCAACCAGATCTATCGAATAAGATCAAAAAATCCTTGCCTGATAAGTTCAGGTTATGATGAGCACAAAGAACTCTTCCCTTTCTTATGCCACTATGATGTGGAAGCTCTTCATATGTAGAAGTTCGAGCGTACTCACCGGCCTCTAGCAACGAAGAATTTGGTTTCTAAGACTTCCGCAAAGTTTCTACCTGACCAAGCATCCACGATTGAAGTGGATGATTCGTGGTGTAAGACAAAAAAAGAAAAAGAGATCTCTTGACACAGTTGAGAGAGGAATGCATCGAATTCAAATACATTAGTTTTCTACCAACTAAAGTTAAATAAAGAAGTTTATGTGCTTGGCTCAGTGTTTTCTGAAAGCTTCTATTGAAAATATATATATACATATACATATACATACATACATACATACATACATACATATATATATATT